AGCCGGGATGCTGAAAAAGGACACGCGCTTATTAATGCATCTGTTTAAAGTGTGTCTCTAGTTCCCTTTGAGCAACGATCGGCGTAAACGCTGACGTTACCCTAACCGTAAATTAACCCGTCGATTGTGAAAAAGAGATTATATGCTCAACCGCGAACGAAGCTAAAGATCAAGGATTCAGCTGGATCGTTCGGAAGCACTCGTCGTCTAGCTTCTCGAGAGGCATCGTTGTCGATCAGAGATACGTTTCTCGCTGCGTGGAGATAAATCAGTCGCGTTCGAGTATCGAAGAATCTGTCGCTCCAAACTTGGCAAATGCGTACAATGCCGAGGAATCGAGAAACGTGCCTTGCAGTTCGAAGTTTCGTTGTTACGCCGACGATGGTGATCCTTTCGGGCACTTTATCTTCCTAGTTTCTGGACACACAAAGGAAATACAGAGTGCCACAGCTGGGAAAAACTGTTTGGTACAGTCAGATGTAAGCGTTATTTCTTATTCTTCGTTATTACAACCTTCGTCCATTTATTTGGTGATTTGTCGATTGCGAAAGAATGAGTTTCTTTCGATGAAAAGAACGTTTCAACGAATTCCATTTGTATTGATACATGATCTACGAGAGATCAAAAATACCAATTTCTTTTTATTGCATTTTCTTGCGGTGTAAAATGTACAGTGGAGTTTAAAGAAATAACGAAGCTGAGGAAATTTTAAGAAAGCGTCTGATAGAATTGCGGTCGACGAAAATGCGTACTGTGCAATTGATTATAAAACACTGTGTCCATTGTAGGCATAACAAATCCAAACGTTTTGTTATTCGAAAAGATAGGGAAAAGATTATTCAACTCTCTTATGCTAATATTAGTTTTAGTTTTTTTTGTTGATTTTGTGTCCAAAAAATGGCTTCCGTGTGTTATGATGCAGCCTATATAAAGGACATCGCGGTGATGACACAACTCGGGAGTAGAAAAAGACCTGCCCATGACGACGACGTGACTAATGTCTCGGGAAGGTTCAAAGTGACGGAGCCTGAGGATACTTTAACGCTATAATCCGACAGGTGAGGTGCAGTTAACGCGCTTGGACACATGTGCAAGTTGTCCGTTCACTCTGTGTGACGTTGCGTAAAATCAACGGGGGCCCTCGGAACGATAAACTAAGCGAGAGTGTAAATAGGGTTATTCGTGTCGACTTTAGCCACTGTTACTTGTCGCTACCGAAACGCGACTAAATTGGAGTCGCTAGAGTTCCTCTAACACTGTGTTCTAGAATTTATTTATTCGTATCACCCTTGGGTAGCATAAACCAATGTGTGAAAATTAAATACATTATCCTGGAAAATTGCATTGAATTCAAAGTTAAGTGCTTCCCTTGTTGAGCGTTTTTCCGATTCCTTTTACGAGTTCCCCCGGCCGATTGTCAGTTTTCAAAAACTAGGAAAAAGTATCTGGCAAGTCGGGAGCTCCGTGACGCTAAACCGAAGTCCACACGATCGCAAATCGAGTCGGAAAGGGTACCGGTTCCTTAACGAGAGAGCGCAATAGGATAATACTTGCGCGTTTATCAAGATTTAAATGTTTGACGTTCCTACTAAACCTGCGTATGCTCACTGGAATGTCTGAAAATGGATAAAACGTGTTATAACGGAAAATGCCGTTCATCGATGAATTTTTAAAGGACCTTAATCACTGCCGCCATTTTTCGTAAAATACTCCAAGTACCCCCATTAAGCCTAGAATAATTGTGACATATCGCAGCGCTTAATTGATATCGAAAATCTGCGCGTCGACGGGGCACGCCGTTTTATTGCAAATTAAAAACGATGTGTATTTCCGGAGAAGTTCGGAGAAGAAAAAACGTGTAATCGAAGAAAAGAAAAGACGCGTCGTCGGTTCTAAATTTGAAACGGGATTCTTTAACGGCCTATAAAACTTCGCGAGTTCATCAGTTGATTTTCGTTGCCCAATAAATCGATAAGTTTTCGAATATTTGCCGAGGAGAGGACTTGTCACGTGCGTCCATCTTAATGGGCGTATATCACGTTTAATTGTGCGACGTCGAATATTAAGATTATCTAATATCGAATTTATGCAACGAGTTAAAGTCATCCGTTCGAATAAGATTAAAGTAATTGGCGAAGGAACGACCAACGAGTTCCAAGGCAAGTGTCTGAAGAAGCACGTGGAAATTTACTCGATAATCACGTTGATAAATAAAAATCTTAGATTCGTTCGTAAACCAGCTTCTGCCCATGGTTTTGAATTAAATTGTTATTGACTCAATTGTGATATAACACAATGTCATCTAGACGGTTTTTTTATATTTGATATGTAATTTGATTTTCAAAAAGGTATATATGATCTATAAAACGATTAATTTGATAAGACACATAACTCTAAAGGAAAATGTTCCATTTTATTCAGAATGCATTCCTTTAACGGCGATTCAGCGATTTGCACGGTCAAATGGTTATTCTATTGTGTATCCTTTTATAGGATGCCTTGGAGGATACTCGTCACAGCCTTTTGGATGCCTGGAATGTTATTATACCTCTTGCTTTTCATGGTTCATCCGCTTTGTTCCAGAGTTATATCGAAAACTATTGAAATACTTATGTATTTAGAGTTGTAACGCTTGTTTCGCTCTTTTATTAAAATACATGAAATATAATGAAAGTCGCGAAGTGCATAAGAAATGAGACAGAAATGAAAGAAATTGATACCTGTGCCTAAAAAGATTCATAGACCACATGTCGTTAGACTTAAACGTTGGTGCAGCGTAAATTGAAATTCAGTTAACTGCAACGTGACATTTATCCCTTTCCCATGGTTCCGTCGGGTACACTGTCCAATGTACCGCAAATCATGCACGACTACCATATCCAGCGATTCCAGCAACAAGATACCATAGGAGGAGACACTCGACAAACAGAATCCTTACGAACTTAGCCAATTGGCCTGGCCACGTTTAGTAGGGCATCATTGTTTCTCGCGGAGAAAGCTCATGGGGAGAGTCTCGTACATCTTTCGACTTTCTTAAGATACGCGCCTTCGCACGAGACGATACACGGATACCAAAAGAGAAAATGCCATTGAATTGATTTGCACGTTTACCAATTCAAGGTGAAGACACCCTGATCGTACAGTTTCGCTTGATCCCGACGCTAATTACTTGATCCACCATGTCGTAAAAGCGTGTTGTATTCCACGAATAGAATTTGAATACGTCACGTTTGTCACTCTATGTTTTTAACTTTTAATTCAGCACCTATTGAAACGAATTCATAAACTGGACAATCAAATTGTGCATCGAGAAGCAGATATGATCGAGCAGCAGGCGAAACAAATCGAGCTTACTTTTTCTTAACTTTGACTACTAGTCTGTAATTTTCACTTGTATTCGTCGCAAACGTTTATTGGATATTAAGTAAACTAACATATTAATTTACAGACTGGACGTGCCTGTTAAAGTCACGCGATGAGTGAAGCCATTAGGAACACGAGCCGCGATTTACCTTTTGTGATCGTGATTCCAACGCACGGACATGCGGTATTTGCTAAAGGAGTTTCTTGTTGGGATACCTAATCGACCGCAGACACCTCGTTAGGTCTAACCGAATGTACTTTCGCGTAAATTCTCTTTCGTCGCGAGGAATGTCTGGTATGAAAAGAGTGTGTTAAATTCGATGTAATTTTTAATGCATTATGATGTAGTTAAAATCGAAAATCGAGATAACCGTCTTTAGGATTATTATCTTCGATTTAAGTAACGAATAACTTTTTGTTAATGATTCCCTTCGAACAAACTTTTGGGTAACTGTTATTTTTCGTTCTTATGTGTAAATAATACTATAGTGGCACCATTTGTTAAAACAGGCTGGTTTTCTTGTTAATAAAACCTTAGAAAGACTTCTCAAATATGTAGGATTTACATTCTTGAAGATGTTATTTATGTAGAAATTTTTAACTTTGTTAAATCTTCGTGAACAAAATTAAGAACAGTTGGTAAGAAATTGCTACACACGCTCGTTTGTATTCCAATCATGCAATCTTTGCGCAGTAGCAGGATATTCTGGAACCCATTGAGGTCGTACATATTTGCAAAGAACAGATTTATTATAACGACGCAAGAGATAAACACGTCATTTCTGATAATACGTCCGACATATGGTGTCCTACTTTCGCGTGGAGAAAAATTCAAATGTTGAATCTTATTGTCTGTCACCCTTATCCAACCCCCGAACACAGGATGCCTCGGCAATACTCGAAACGAATAAAAATATATTCACTACGAGGAGGAAAAAAAATGATCGTACGTATTTAGTCGTCGTCGACCGTACTATTAACATTTTTATGACCGACTTCTCCCTCCCTTCGATCGGTCAGTGACTGTTAATTAAGAATTAAACGACTCTGTTTTGCAATAATCTCTCGATATCACGCGGGGAATCCTCGAACGAGGAATTGACATTCCATAATTCCGGGATATCTTCATAATTGAGAAACAGAAGTGGTCTACAGTGTTTCACAGCAGGAGGAAACTCTAATTTTTTCAACGTTAAGAATGTAATTTTTTTTATTATAATTTCATGATAATTTGAATACTAAAATCAGTAAGGAATTTTATACAAATTCCTTACTTATGAGACTAACATAACACGGAATTTATAATGATGATGGATATTTACTATTTTCTTGAATTCTGACTTCAAATTCTTAAATACTGTGTATCGTTACGCCTGAAATTGAAACATAATAAAATCGTCGAGTATGCAATTGAAATTGTTTAATTGTTAAAATAATCGGCTTCCAAACTTTGTTATCATGCTTCTGCAAGGTTTTGGACACTCATTAAAAAAAGCAATGCTTCAGGGAAGATCTTGAAACTTCATTTACAATTCACATCGTTAAACCTGAATTTGTAATCGAGATCCAGTGTCTAATTAAGGACCAAAGATTTTACTTCGGAGCATAATAAATAATTTCTTTGTGTGCTTTTCTAGAGTGCAACGTCGCGGGTTTCGTCAGCAGTACTGGTCAAGTGGAAAGAGTGCCATACGTGTTTCTGCCCCAACGTGGCCAGATAATCTACCCCCACGCAGAGATTCAATTCGAAGGTGAGTTCGTTAATACCAAATATTAATTAGTTCTCAAACTTATAATAAAATAATCTTTACGGATTAAACGCACATAACTCGAGCGGCAAATTCAAAAACATCAATTTCTCGACTAAACAGTTCAGCGTAAACGATTCTTTATCTTTCCGTTCTATCATCGGCTCAATTTACGCGATCATCAACGTTAACGTCTTCCTTATGCCATGCAATATCTCCTATTATCGTTTGACCAATCTTTCTGTACGATGAACGAAGGTGTAACGACCCCGGTTTGCGGAATTGCTGGCGCTCAGCAATTAGGTCGAACGGGATGGTTGGAACTGAGGAATCTCTCGGACACCGAACCACCCTTCAGGCTGTTTCGAGACGAGGGCAGGACATTCCTGCAGGTTGGTATAAAATAAATAGTTTGTTATAACGCTCGACGGTATAAAATATACAAGTCGTTACCCTGCCAGGACAGTTATGAAGTCATAATTAAACGCATTTACTGCTGCAAATCCTACCTCGAACGATAATCCGATTAACCCCTTGCGATTCGAGGCATTGCATGAACCTGCTGGAACAGGTGTTTCGTCCCAGCAGGTTCATGCACAACTCGTCTATTTGCACTTATAACCTATGACTTGTGTCTATTTCTTGTATTACAATAACAAGATCACAATTTATAGTAATATGTTGTACCATATTTGTTATTTAAAATTAGTCACTTTATGGTATTTTTATTATTACTCACAAAAAATGTAAATGTACGACTAAAATGTAGTCAAATAAACTACAAAAAGGAAACACAACGTTAGACGTAGCATTCGGTTTAAAAAAATTCATAAAAATTCCTGATTTTCCCAACTTCCAGGAATGACCCCTTACCTAAATTTACTTTATTAAACCCTAAACCCTTGTCGTCACCGTTAATCGTCGTTAACAAATTGTCTCTGGGTCAAGTGGATCGGTGAAGCTGGTCTGAAAGAAGCAGCTGAGGGTCGCGTGGTGACAGCCAAGCTAGTCTGCAGGGACGCGTCGTCGAAATCGAAATTTCCCAACGTGTTCACGCCGTGCGTGGCTTTCAGGGTGGCTGGCTCGCCCTCGAGGAGCAGTGAGTAATCAGCAGTGGTCCAAAAGGGTTATTATTCCTGTCGTTCCACCGTCCATAGATCCGAAAACTTTCTTTGTTTCTGCTCAGACGTTCGAGAAGTGACGTTTTCTTCAACGACGCAACTCTCTCAAGGGCTCTCCACCACGGAGTACACGGCCATCGGTCTATCATCTGTAATCCTGGCCCTGATATACGTTGCAAGCGTGTCCCTGTATCTTCACAGCAAGAAGGCCAGACGAAAAATTATCGAAGAGCCGGAATTGAACCTAACGCCTGGCCGTGAAGTCAGTGGATTGGTGAAGAACAATCCGTTACTCGCTGCTTCGAGACACTTCGAGAGCGACACCACCAGCGGCCTGACGGAGAGCGACCTTGGCGACGAACTTCCGGCCAGTGATGGCGAACAGGGCTTCGAGAACGTACGTTCCTTCTCTCGAATTTGAACGACTTTGTTAAAACGTGCAATGACTATGCGTTCTCATCAGGTAACATCGGCTGTCATCCACCCTCACTGCGTCTATTTGGAACAGTCCGAGCTCTGTTTCGGCTCTGGGTCGCTCTTAGGCGAAAGAATACCGGAGGAAGATGTACGAGTCGTGGAAACCGCCGAAAATCCCCATCAACAAGATATTCCTGTCCTACCCGGGGCCCAGAGAAGAAAATTATACTTCAATCCCGCTTATTTCGATAGGCAATTGTTGCTGGTAAGTTAACAGCTGTCCAGTTAAAAAAAAAGTAACGGGGTTTCTCTATAATAGAACGTTGAATTGAAATAAAATAGAAACTGGGGAAGGTAATCTGGTGGTCGTTGCTTTATTATTTGGTGTACCTTATTGGAAAACTCTGTACTATGAACCCAAGCATTATAAATAAATTTCCTTTGTACGACATAAATTTGGATAATTCCTAGATAATTAAGGACAGCCCGGTATTTTTCTAGGCTCCCCCTCCAGCAGCCATCGAGTTCCTTCTCAAGATACGGGAGGTTATCTCTATTGCCAAACACAAAATGGCCGCGAAGAAATTCGTTCCTACTCTCATCGGTAAATAGAATAAAAAGCAGGCTGCTCAAGTCATAACTATATAAAATAAAAAAATTATCTAATCCAAAGAGTGTAAATGAAATTTAAAAATTAATCACGTGCTACGTGACTACGGCTATAAAAGTGTTAAGAGTAAAGTTTCATAAATTCTGTCAACGATCCAGGTATCCCGGAAGAGAACAACTCGGATCGATGCGACTCTGCGGGCAAGAATCAGCAACGATCGTCGTCGGGTTCGGTTCAAGGTTCGATCGCAAAGTCACGGAAGTCTCAGCGGTGCACAGGATGCCCCGGTTGCACCGAATCTTTCAAAAGCACATCCGTGCTTCCGGAAACCGATCAACCGAGTCCAGGTGAAAGTAAGGTGAGAGCGTGGTTGGAGGACGTCAGAACGCCGGATCGTCGTTGGCGAGACACAGAAGAGACTCGAAAGAGGTTTCAAGAGAACACCAGCACCTTCGCCAAGAATCTCGAGTACCTGAAGGAGCTAGCCAAGCGAGACTTCGACCTGGAAATAAGGAGCTTGAAAGGAATGGGTCTGTATTCGTGGAAAGACAATCTATCGAGGACCGTTCAGCACGTCGCGAAGAGCGAAATCCTAGCAACCGACGATCGAAACAGCATCTCCAAGCGTTCCACCAAGTCTATGTTCGAGGAGACGAAACACTACAATGAACAAAATAACGACGCAACGACTGGTCCCAGCGGCGACGACGCCATAAACGCTAAGGTGAGAAAGGCTATCGAGAACTCATTCATCGAGCAGATGGAGGAGAACGCTGCTGTAACGGAGACGTCAAAAGCACTGAACGGCGAGAATATTGCATCGACTGAGATCGAGAACAGCAAAGAAGTAGAAAAGACAGAGCCCGACGAGAACTCGTCGCGAAAATCAGCGAAGAAATCAAACGATGTTTCGACTCCGACAAAGGAGCTGCCGGACATGATCAACGAGCTTCCCAACGCGAAGAACACGGCGAAACGTATCATGGACGCTGTGATCCGCGAGATGGTCGGCACGAAGGTACTGGAACATCAGTCGAAATCAGGGAATATGGCGGACTACGAGGTGGACAGTTTGGAGCGTTCGAAGTGTAGTCGAAAGTCATCGATGTCACCGGAATCCACCGACCATTCGAGCCCAGCTTTGTCCACCGCGTTGCCCATGGACGAGGAACTGACGATGCAGAACGCGGTAATCAACACCAGGACAGGTGAGATGACGATCTCGAAGCTGAACGATGACGTGCTCGAAAGGAACTATTACAACAGTCTGCCCGAGCTGATCTCATCGCAGAGGTCTGAAAGCTACTCGTTGGTGAGCGAGGTGTACGTGAACGACGGCTACGACAGTCCAGCCTGTAGCGACGACTCTGGCCCAGAGATCCAATACGAGCCAGAAAATCCTGGACATCTGACCATCAAGGTCCAGGATTCACCGGAGAACTACGTAAAACAAGACGAGTCCGAGTACGAGCCGGACACGTTGGACAGAAAACCGATGAAGCTGAAGATCAACGACGACGTGAACTATGAGAGGGAGGTGCCCGACGAAATCTACGTGGATTCTCTCGAGAGGCCTGCTCAGATACTCCTGAAGAGCAAGGGCAGCTTTCGCGATCAGACCACCGCGAGAAACGAAGAGGCTTGTTTGCAGCGCGGTTACGGCAGCCTTCGCGAGATCTACGAGGCCAGATTGAAATCTGCTAAAGATTTCAACATGACGGACAGCACCAACTCGTTGAACGCGGAGGACACCATGTCTTGGAAGATGTGCAAATACCTAACGCCCGACACCAGACAGGCCAAGAGGCAACGACAACCCAACAATCAGCCGGACGTGGTCCCGATGCCGCCCACGGAGGAGATCTATCAGCACCCGAAACCCCCGCGGCGCGTCAAGGACGCGAAACCGTCAACGAACGTGTCTCTGTCAAAAAACGGCTGGGACAGGAGTCCTGCCGAAGCGGGTGACCCTACGACCAGCAACGGTGCTCCTGTCCCCAGTGACCATTTCAACGTAGGGTCCACTGATCCATGCCCCTGCATGTCGCAATCCTGCTGCGAACGGTCGACGACAACCTGCAGACACCAACTAGGAAAGTGGAAGGCGTGTCCCGGAGACTCTGGTAACTGCAAACAGCGATTGTCGACGTGTTGGAACGAGGCTAGTCGGGAGGATAAGAGGAGGCTTCTGTGTCGATGTCGCCTTCGAGAGGTTCGTTCGGAGAATTCGGAGAGAAGAGACGACGGAAGGCGATCGACCAAGCTGTCGAAAGGCTGCGAGTCGACGAGCAACTGCGGCGATCATCAGCCCCAGGCGAAGGTGGAGGACAGCGGCTATCTGAGCAGCACGGACAGCAACGGGTCGCGCAAACGACTGCTGGGTCACGAAGTGAGCAGCGTCTCGGAAACGGACGAGACCGAGTCCGTGTGCGATGGAGCCAGCGAGAGCGGCGCCGAGAGCGTGGGAACCGACAGCGTGTTCTTTGGTAACTTTCGCAGGCTGTCGGAGTTCGCCAGCTTCCCGAAGAGCATAGACTCGGGGGTCGAGATCGCCGGGAGGAACGCGTACCTTCAGTCGTTCGTCGCCAGGAACGAGAACGGAGCCTCGGAGAGGATGAACTTCAGCACCAGCGACAGCGAGACCGAGAGTTTCATCACTGTTCTTCCGCCGCGTGGAACTATCAGGGAACCAGTTTAATATTGTTACGTTATTCGAATTTCAACGAGAGAAACGCTTTGCCACGTACTGAGTCGCTGAAAGGTTCATAGTTTATTCGTCATGAACTCGTTCGAACGCGATTTTAAGGGTTGGTTAACGACCGTAAGCGGGGGAAGATTCGTGCAAGTGTTGCGATGTAAAAGTCGTGGTACGTTTGCTTGAAATTTCGACGAGAAAAGTAGAAACAAATTGCTCCTCGATTTTATGTTATAAAATAAGTTCAATTTTGAATCAATTACATTAAAAGAACGAAAGTTCTTTCTGTATAGATTTCGGGTGCAAAAATTGTCTCGTTTCCTTTTAACACTAAATCTACCGACACTTTTATACCCATTTCCATCATGATCGGCTGTCTAGTGATTATGCAAACATCCTGTATACAAATTTAAATTAATTTTCAATTAAATCAACAATTTACAATCCAGTTTTATCGTACATCAGTCGTATGATTAATAGGAATTTGTTGAAACTTCTTTGGGTGCATAGTGTCAAAGTAAATGTTAAAATAAATATAGAAGGCAGCATAAATTAGAGTAGCTATTACATTCACAGGATAGAGGATGAAATGCCCTTTAAAACGAGCGTTCGAACAAGCCGATAGCGTTATTAGTTCCAGAGATATGATGATTTTAGTTTCAAGTCGATGCGGTGGCTAGTTTCGGAGATGTAAGGGTCCGGAGCGTTTGTTTACCACAGCCTTGTCAAGGCCGTTAGCCACACGTGACTCGCGCATGACGTCACTCGGTCAGTCGGTTAGTGGTCAACGTGCGAGAAGGAGGTCCGACGCGACGCGTTAGACAAAGACAGCGATAGTCAAATTAAGAAAAATTACCTTTTACATAAATTATGATATCTCGAAAACGGAAAGTCCGATCATCAAAAACCAAAAACCATTTTAAAGAGGAAGCTTTGTCGCTGCCAACGGTGGCTCAACAATTAATAAAACTTTGGTAGTTTCGGAACTGCACGCGTCTAAAGTTTTAGTATTTTTAATACGCCTGAATAGGCTATTATACGCGAGCCAGACAGTGAGACAGTCGAATTAAAAAAAATTACCTTTTACGTAAATTACGATATCTCGAAAACGGAAAGTCGGATCGACATAATTCAAAAACCATTTTAAAGAGGACGCATTACCGCTTTTAATAATGGCTCAATTATTGATCAAACACTAATAGCTTTGATACTGCATGCGCCTGAAGTTTTACTATTTTTAATACGCATTCTTAGATAGTGGACACCCATTATTCTAAGATAGTGGACACTGCAGATTCTCTCCTTTCATCTTTGCTACAGATTTCCTATTTACATCGAAAGCTAGTCAGAATTTGATTTCAAATTTTGTCCTGTTTTTTACAAAATAATATAAATCGTTCAACCGGTCAAACGACCAGTCGTGGTAGGTTTAGTGTTAAAGGGAATTTTCATTTAAAAAAGTTTGAAAACCACTGGTTTAAATCGAGAGCATGCAATAATATCTGTTTCATTACGTCAGACATTTCAAATCCTGTCTAATCAAACGAATGCGGCCAGTAAATTAATATAATCTAAATAATTTAGATTTAGTTTAGTCATTTAAATTTCAAACGCACACGCGTTTAGAAGTTCGCCAAGCGGGTAAATGTATAACTACAGTTGTTTAAACAATAATCTTGAGGCTACAACTAGCAATAGAATTAAAATTTTATTGTTTGAAGTAACCGATTGGCACAAAAATTTAGATATAATTACAGTAACATTCTTGTTATATTTATATTATTTATATTATTAATTTCTGATAATAAATAAGTATGTTAGCATAGATTATTTTGAATCTTAATGTAACTAATGATTGCAAATTATCGAAATTTAATATATTTATAATAATATATAATACGAAAACATCTACGATCGTAAATGTAGAGCAGTATTTATTTAATAATTTCTAAACAATTTTACGTTAATATTTAGGTAATGAAAATTATGACCGACACTGCTTGAAAATTGCCATCGTAGGATCTACTCGTAGCTTAATTATAAAATGGCCGGACGTGCAATATTAACTCGTAAAGTATATTACATTATTAATAAGAAAACCAGTATCCTATTTAATGTATTTTGCAAATACTACGACTACGTCAATTATAATTTTATTTACTAGTCGATACGATAATGATTTCCTATCAAAACACCAGAGACATACTATATTAAATAACAACTGAGAAATATATCATATTAACGCGCATAAACCATAATATAAATAAAGCTCTAATATACGTGTATTTTTATAAAAATTCCAATTGCAACAAGAACTTGAAAATTGAAAATGATTAACATACTTGTTATTGTTGATTATTATTTTAATTATTACTTAACAACGATATTTATCTTATACAGTTTTTGCAAACATACATATAGTAAAAAGTACTTTAATTTCGTATTTATTTAAAACGATGCATTAATTACCAATTTTAGACAAACGAAAAATATTTCACATTCCGTTGTAATTTATTTATTAAACCGTAAATTAATTTTTTCTCCGTTATCGATCAAATTTATTTTTGTGTTTGTTATTGCAAAAAATGATAAACTTTATTTAACGATAGCATGCATTATAAAAGAATTAACTGCGCCTGTTACTAGCAACTAAAATTTATATGCATTTTTTATTTATACACTTTATGATAATTTATAGCGTAATATATCTTAATATATTCTTTCGTTATTGTGTTAATTTATTATAGTTTTATATACAGTCACGCGAGAGGAAAGGATGAGAATTAAATTGTTGAAAATACTTGACAGAGGATAATAGTAATTGTTACTTTAAAATCTGAATGTTTTAATAATCCTCGCATATTTTGTAATAAAATAACGTCTTTTTATACCGGAAGCGCACGCTTCAACGTACCTGCCAAATGTACATACAAAATAGATTTTAATATATTGAATTTTTATAATGTATACTTAGGATATAATATTACTGTTGTACTTTATACAGCATTCGCTAAAGTGATGCACATGTATTTATAAATAAACGTTGGAAATAAAGGTTTACAAATGTACACGCGTAGACATTAAATCGATTACTCTTCATTATTTCCTTGACGAAAAACTTCCTCGTATAGAATAGACTATGCACTTTATAGAAGCTGGTGTCACACGAGCTGAAATACAAATCCGGTAAAAAAAAGACTCTCATATAGGCCTATTCATTATTCATATGCCATATATTGTTAGGAATCGTTCAAACTATTGCGTCACATATCTACGGCAAAACGCCTAAGTTTTCAGTAGAATAGTTCGTTACCATCAACGCTAGATGGCGCTTCTTTTCGACCTTGTGGGTTTATGCTTAAATGATGCACGTGGTTCGTTTCCACGTATGATGCGCGTGCGTTCGTAGGCCCACCCCTACGACCACGGATATTAATATTCGAAATAACTGAACACGTGTATGTAACAACAACAACAATAACGAGTATTCTTTATTAACGCTAGGCGTCAAGTCTTTGTCTAGCAACAGGAGTTTTACTCTTTATCTTTTTGAGGTGCTTCTTCGCGAAGTTCTTACCAAGCAGTGACTTGAGCGTCCTTGCATTTTTGGGAGGACGCGCTTTCGCCCTGCTGCGCTGCGCGCGCAGCCTTACGGCGGATTCGCACTTGACGGGAAACTGCGCCCCTATACTCTTGTGCGGACGGGACCATAAGTCTCGACCCCACAGTACTCCCCCCCGAGTAACAGCGCTCTTTGGTTTCTTTATTTTGGTTTACAATTTACTTACATCTACTTAGATCTACTTATTTATTAAATTGCACGCGTTTCTTATTTATATACGTTCTTAGTTTATTTGGCGTACTCGCGGAAGGCGCGGACTCTACCTGTAACCTTTCGGTTACTGTGGGCGGTTGTTCTTCCATATTTTCGGGAGTGAAAAACGCAGGTTTTAACCGCTCTACAGATATGTTCTGCGCCGCCCCGTTTATTTCTATTCGGTAAACTTGGTCCGATATCTTTTCGAGAACTCTATGTGGCCCGGTATACGGTCGTTTTAGCGGCCGTTTTACCGCGTCCATGCGTAAAAATACGTGTGTACAATCATGTAGTTCCTTAAATCTAAATACGCGTTTCCTATTTTTATGTACCACTGGTACTGGTCTTACGGCTCGCATGTATTGTCTGAATTCCATGAGGAACATATCCGGGTTTGGGGTGAAATCGCCCTCTAAAACGAATTCCCCTGGAATGCGCATAGTCGCGCCGAACATGTATTCCGCGGGCGACGCGTTGGTGTCTAACCGTACCCGCGAACGCAACCCTAGTAATACCGTCGGAAGTTTCCGCGACCAATTTGTTTCACACGCGTGGCACATGAACGCCGCTTTTAGGTCCCGGTGCCACCGCTCGATCATCCCGTTGGATGCTGGGTGATATGCGGTCGTTCTAGTCCGGTGGCACCCGATGAGCGACAGTAACGACGCGAAGAATTGGGACTCGAACTGTTTCCCCTGGTCCGTTGTGACTACCTTGGGGGCTCCGTAACGAGACACCCAGGTATCGAAAAATGCTCTTGCCACCGTTGGCGCCCCTATTTCGCGTAACGGCACGGCTTCAGGCCATCGGGAGAACCGGTCGATCATCGTCAATATATACCGATATCCGTCCGATTCCCGCAATGGCCCTACTATGTCCACGTGGATTTGGTCGTTTCGACCATCGGGTGCCACGAACGGTGCCGGATTGTTCCGTACGTGGCGCGTGACCTTCGAGGTTTGGCACGGAATACAATTTTTGCACCAGCTCGTTACGTCGCGACACATATTCGGCCATACATATCTCTGCCGAATTATCCTGTCCGTTACCTTCGCGCTCGGATGTGCCAGCGCGTGAAACAAATGGAAAACTTTTTTCCTTAGGGCACTGGGGATGTAAGGGCGCACCGTTTCGCCGGACTGTTCGCAATACAATCGCGTGTGGGCCGGACCCCACATAAGCCGCACGAGTTTGAGAGGATGGTTGGCATCGTCTCGAATCCTCTCCAACTCGTCGTCACTCTCTTGTGCCTGCGCCAGTTCGCACAGCTCAATGTCCGTGGGCAGTCTTATGGACTCTATGCGCGACATTGAATCGGCCACGATGTTGTCGACCCCTGGAAGGAATTCGATCTGGGTCGTAAACTGACTTATATACGACAGCATGCGCACCTGACGCGGATCGGCCTTATCAGCGAGCTGCATAAATGCGTATATAAGCGGTTTATGATCCGTCACGATTTTAAACTCGCGTCCTTCCAGGAAATGCTTGAATTGTTTGACAGCAGAATAAGCTGCTGTCAACTCCCGATCGTAGGTACTGTACCTCTGTTGAGCGGGGTTGAATTTTTTCGAATAAAATGCCAGAGGTTTCCACGAATCCTCTAGCTTTTGCTCTAACACCGCCCCCATTGCAAATTCGGATGCGTCTGTGATCACCCGCGTCTCGGCGTCCCCCGAGGGATGCCCTATCAAGGTCGCGTCGGCAAGGCTTTCCTTGACTTTCCGAAAGGACTCTTCGGCCTCTACCGACCAATTAATTTTTGTTTTGTCCTTTCGCCGCGACTGCGTAAGGTACGCGTTTAAGGGTGCTTGGAGAGTGGCGGCATGAGGTATACTTCGTCTATAAAAATTTATTATCCCAAGAAATCGACGCAACTCGACGATTGTCTTGGGTTTATCAAAGTTTTGAATCGCGTCAATTTTTCCGGGTGTCGGTTTGTAACCTTCTGTATTAATTAAATGGCCTAAAAACGTTAGTTCTGGTACCCCGAATTGACATTTTTCGACGTTAATTTTTAAGTGAAATTTCTTAAGTCTCTCAAGGATTGTCCGCGTGTGCGCGATATGTTCTTCCCTCGACGCGGAAGCAATCAGTATGTCGTCTACATATACGAATGCAAATTCCAAGTCGCCGAGGGCGCGATTCATGTACCGTTGGAACGTTTGACCGGCGTTACGTAACCCGAACGGCATTGCCAAATATTCGAACAAGCCGAACGGTGTAATCACGGCGGTCTTAGGAACGTCCTCCGGCGCTACAGGGATCTGCTGGTAGGCTTGATGTATATCCAAGCAAGAAAATACTGTTTTTTTATGTAAGTTTACCGAAAAATCGTGAATGTGCGGTAAGGGATGCCTATCCGGAACTGTAATATTGTTCATCGCGCGATAATCTCCGCACACTCTCCATTCCCCATCTTTTTGGGGGACCATGTGTATGGGGCTGGCCCACGGGCTGCTTGATGGCCTACACACCCCAGCCTCCATCAGACGTCGAAACTCCAGCTTAGCTGCTTTGAGTTTGTCTGGTGCGAGGCGCCTAGCGCGCGAGGCAACCGGATGCCCTTTGGTCTCTATGTAGTGGAATACCCCACGTTCCTGTAGCGGAACTGCTTGGGATATTCCCGTCACTTCCGGAAATTCGAGTAACATACCCGCGATTCCCGATGAGCGATCGACGGTGTGCGTCGAGACGTGGTTCACGTTCTTTGTCGTGCACCGAATTTGCAATTTGGTGAGCGAATCTATTATTCTCCGCCCTCTCAAATCCACGGTGATGCCGTAGTGCGTCAACAAATCAGCACCTACGATCGGGTATGGCACGTCTGCCACGCAAAAGTTCCACGTGATCGGTCGTCGTAGACCGATTTCAATGGTGCGCGTCGACACGCGTATTGTTCGCGGCATAGAGCCGCAGACCGCTGGCCACGGGCTTGCAATTTCTGGCTACAGGCAAAAGGGATATGTCTGAACCCGTGTCTATTAGGAATATTTGTCCCGAAATTTTGTCCTGGACGTGGAGACGTTTTGAGTTTAATATTGCATTACTACCCTCACACCCTGTCTCCGCGGGGGAAGGTATTTCTAGTTTTCCGTCCGCGGTGACGGTTTCGGCCACGTACAATTTTCGGGGTCCTTGCACGCGTATGCTTTGGCCCCGAATTTGCTATGGGCCCAGCACACCGCGGGAGTTAGCGTCGGAGCCGCTCGATTTCGCTCACCCGAACGACCGGCAAACCCGCGTTGCCGTGATTTTGACCGCGACCGCGACATCGCTTTTTCGAGGCGCTCGAAGCTGGCCGACATCTTTAACACCGCGTCGGTCAGTCTGTCGAGCTTCGCCTCCATCGAATCGCGGTTTGACCGATCCCTCACATTAACCGATGCGACGACGTGGCTGCTTTGTGAAGTAGACTCGCATATTCTATCCGCCAGTTCCGCGAGATCTTGCAATTTCGGCACTTTTGCCGCTACTAATATGGTTTTCACCATTTCTGGCATCTGCTCTAAGAAAATCGAGCGCATCACCTCGTCGCCCAGGGCACGCAACCGGTATAGTATTTGCGACGGTTTCCCTTCTGTAGTAACCTGCCCCTTCAATAATTGCCGGAGCCGGCTTTCCGCCGATGCCGCGTACGCGGACATAATACGCGTTTTCACGAGATCATATATCTCGTCCGATCGTGGCCCCGTTAATAAATCCCTAATGGAGGATACGACCTCCCGATCTAACGCCGCGACGAGGTAATCTACCCGCGTTCTCGCATCTGTTATCCGCGCGGTATTGAACGTAGCCTCGACTTGCAAAAACCATAGCATCGGATCGTCGCGAAAAAATTTTGGGATCTTGGGGACGCGGTAAGAATCGACGCTTCCAAGATGGCCGTCGCTTGTGGCGTTGTTCACCGCCATCTTGCTGCCCTTAGCTCACCTTGCTCCGCTTCTCCTGACGCTCCACGCAGCCCTCTGCTTCCTTTTGCCGCTTGGTCGGAACTCGTTCCCCGTGTCCTGGTCCACGTTGTCCTCTGCGCTGCACGCCGAGGTGTACCCACGATGTGGAACGCTGATCCAGCAACACGTGCGTCCAATGGCGTCAGTTGCACCCTCCTGCTCTGGATCCTCTGGATCCTTGATCTGGTTCGTTCAGTTCCTCGACAATTCGACGGTAAAGACTCGTCGGGGTCACCAGTTGTGGGTTTATTCTTACTTGATGCACGTGGTTCGTTTCCACGAATTATGCGCGTGCGTTCGTAGGCCCACCCCTACCACCACGGATATTAATATTCGAAATAACTGAACACGTGTATGTAACAACAACAACAATAACGAGTATTACTTTATTAACGCTAGGCGTACAAGTCTTTGTCTAGCAACAGGAGTTTTAATCTTTATCTTTTTGAGGTGCTTCTTCGCGAAGTTCTTACCAAGCAGTGACTTGAGCGTCCTTGCATTTTTGGGAGGACGCGCTTTCGCCCTGCTGCGCTGCGCGCGCAGCCTTACGGCGGATTCGCACTTGACGGGAAACTGCGCCTCTATACTCTTGTGCGGACGAGACCATAAGTCTCGACCCCACAGTGTCAGAAAAACGCGCCATCTAGCGTTGAAGATATCGAACTATAATTTATTGGGAGCATCATGGACAAACTAAACGGACATCTAAGTGGGCAAGAATGCAGTCATTTATGTAGACACTACTGTATTTATAATAATAATAAGGTTTAGACACTGTTTATTAATGAGATTGAAGTACATATAGTCTCAAGTTACTATTTATTATGCTTGATGTGTTGTGAAACCGTATTTCTTCAAAGAAACGTAGAAACTAGGAATATGTGTTGCAGTGTCAAGCTTAAGTTAACAGTATGTTCTGACAGGAATAGAACTGTTTCTGGACAAGTTTGGGCCTTTGTCGTTAATTGTGAAGCATTTATAAGTGATCTAAACTACTGAGTACTCTATTATTGTATTAATAAATAAATTAAAATTAATTTTCGAGACTTATGTAGATATTCAGTTGCTGAATCGGTAATCGCCTCGAGCGCGCGTTAATAAGTATGGTCAATTACGTAGTCTAATGACAAAATATGGGCGCGATAAATTGTTGTTAGGGTGCAATTGTGATATATTAATAAAGCGAATATAATAAAATTACAATAAACATTTGTGATGTGACGTTCTGAAGATACAAAACGAGAATGGAACAAGTGTTCGCTACTGCTGACAAACTGTCAGAAGTAATACGAAATATGCAACAATGCTTACAATGTACAATTTGGTAAGTTCATGATTGATTTACAAAGATTCATTCAAAGAAACATAACACGCTATTCATTAATCAGTAAATTACAGTACATGATTTTTTTCACATGTGGTGTACGATAACTTGAAATAGGTTATGTTTAGAATCATTTCAAATATTCTGTAATGAACATATTATAAAATAACTGTATTAATTTAAGCAGTTGGTTTCATTAAATGCTTTCTTTTCTACTATTTGCAAATTGTACATTGTTATGTATAACTTGCACAAATTACATGTTACTGTAAAATTAGTTATTATGCATCTTACCACGAATACAGTTGTAATTACTTATATGAGAAGATTAATATATTACTTTGTATGGATAGTTGAGTATAATGAATTTAACCGTGTATTTAATTAATGTAAAACATTATTTCTTTTACATGTATATTACAAGTAGCATCTTAGAGTATTTATTATTTATCTATCTTAAGGTGTGGAATCTTGATGTTCTAATATGAACGCTAAAGTAGTATGCACTACCTTAAATTAAATTTTTTCTTTACCATGTGTACTCATATACGTTATTTATATATGTGTAGCGATACGAATGAGATATTTATATTGTAAAGATAATGTTACCACCGTATTACTGCAGTACTTTAGTAAAAATGATTTAAATATTTGCGTGTTGGTTATTTAATCGATGTAATAAACCTCGATCCCTATTTGCTCATTTATTATTCTTGTAGTAGTAATGTTAGCAGTATAAAAATGATACGTATCATGTGAAATATTACTGATCTATTTAAAAGAACACTTAATACAGAAACTATTAAATTGTAAAGTTGTCAGACTTAAACCGTATAAATTTTCCTCCAACTGTTGCTCATAATCAGATAATTCTCTACAAGTAAATACGAATGCACGTGAACTGGTATTGCGAAAATATGACTTCTGTTTCAGTCTCCATACTATATCCGAACCCATGAGAACTCGTTGTGGGCATCGATTTTGTCGTGAATGTATCCAAACGGTGTTGCAAAGCAGAAATGCGCTCTGTCCACTGTGCAACACCAATCTTCCGCGTCGTGGCATTTCGAAGGACGAGTGCATGGAAATGTACGTCAACAAATTAGAGGAATTAATCGAAGCAGTTAAACTGGACTCTGGCATCGACAGTGAGTAATACCGATTCACCCATAGTTATTTCATCTTTTATCAATCGATTCGATCACTGCATTGAAAAATATGTTAAATCACCAGTTAAAAATAGCTGACGCCTTATCGCTTTATCTTTGTTGCTAAAAGAAACACGAAGCTTAAAATACGATTCTCTGCTCGTCACGATATCATGTCCGCTCAGGTCAGCTTTCAAGCCTTTAAAAACTTTAAGTCCTAGCGTTATTTGGGATCATGCTGCTTCCTACAGCTATATAAAATATCAACGTTTTACGAGGTCTTAACTTTTGCACGCGCTGTTTTCGTGGTCGAACTTCCGTAAAGGATATTTAACAGGTCCTCCTTTTAAAATTTTACTTATCTGTGAAGTTTAAAAAATGGTTAGAATTCCACTGCATTTATCGTTGCTCCCAATATCAGAAGCTTCAATCTGAAATCTGGAAAGAATCAAGTTCGACCTGTTGTTATCAACGTGCTCGTAGCAATGGACTATGCGTGTTACAGTATCCTTGCACACCGCAAGACCACAAAGCACGCGGGAAAGCAGCTCGTCGGACCCCATGGAGCACCATAAACCCGACACAGAGGAGCACTACGGACCAAGTTGTTCGTACGTCGAGTCCGCGTTGAAAGCACCGCGTACTTCTCGGCCGAAAAGTTACGGGCGAACGCGTAAAATGGTATCCAGAAACAGCGAGGGTAAGAAGAACAGCACCGAGGGCAGCGATATAACGAAATTTCTGAACAAATATGCCCTGTCGGGCATCGCTGTTCTGCCTTCTAACGAATCCAACGGCAGCGAGAAGAACTCGATGGACGTCAAAGTACAAAATTGGCTGGAATCTTTGCCAAACGACGAACCGTTGGACGATTTTAACAAAACCCAACCGATGCACAACGAATGCAATCTCGACGATACCACGATGTCTTCCGTCTCCCAAATCGACGAGAAAGCCAAAAATGGCAATTCCAAATCGAAGAAGGCTGTTATTAAAACGCATCGAACGTATTCTAAGGCGGAGAATCGAAGAGTACTTCCAGGTACATCGAGATTGAACGACGATACCAAAGATCAGGAGAGAACAATGGACGAACCAGCGCTGCTTCATCGAGGGCAGCATGTCGACAGGACGTCACCGTGCAACATGCTGCCCTCGGTGAAGCAGAACTGGTCCAGCGTCGCGCGATTCGGCAAAGAATTACGGAAAAAGAAGCGAACGAGAAAGCTGAGGTCTTTGGACGTCAGCATCGAGAACAAGAGCAACAGATATTCGCGATCGCTCGACGAAATTGAAAAGGAAGCCATCAAATCGGGACCAATTAGAGACAAAGAGACGGACAAGGAAGGTAATCCTTCCGAAAGCATGGAGAAGCGTCTGCCAAACGAGCAAACACCCACGAAAGAGAAACACGACGCATCTATGCAAGAGATCCAAGCTGAGGGGACGTCGTTCATCGCGCTGAAAGAAGGCGAGCACGTGCACATAACGAAATTGAACAATAGTCAGATGAAGGACATAATCGGCGTCGCTGGTCCCAGCGAGGATCGCAGATACAAAAGCAGAACGATGCCTCCGAAAACGTCGATGGAGAAGGCTTTCGTCCGATCGAACAACGCCAGTCCGGATTTGTTGTGCGGGGACAGCTTCTTGGGGACGGAGGTGATCGAGCAAACGCCCACCTGCAGCAGATTGTCTCTGAAACGACGAAGCACCGACCCTAAATCGGAAGAGTCTCGGAAATCGAACGACGTAGCGCGGCTGGAGACCGTGAAACGCGACTTGTATCGAGAAATAGATGATGACGAGAGCGCCAGGACGAGATTAACGTCGGAGACGAAGGACAAATCCGAGGGAAGCAATAGACCGGATGCTGGTTCCGTGTACTCCACGAGTTCCAACGAGAATAGGAACAAGAAAGAGGACAAAGGACAGAACAAATGTTTCGTTACGTTCAAAAAGTTGGGCAAGGTTTACAAACGCCGTAAGAAACGCGTCGCTTTCTTGCATTTGGGCTCGATCCTGCCGAAATCGGTTCACCAGGAGTATTTGGAGCTAAGGTTGCAAAATCCGTGCAATTCGTCGGCATTCCAGGACCTGAGTACTCAGAAACTAGCGTCTGAGTGTCGTTTCGGGAATAATACGCGAATCTCGGTGAACGTTACGCCGCAGGATGAAATGGAGAGTATTTTGCCAACAGAGGAAGAAGCTTCTGCGTTCGTTCAACCTGGACCATCGAATATCGCGTCGAAACCGCCAGGTGTATTGGCTAACCTAAGCGAGAGTCAGTATCGAGCGTCCAACGATGTATTTTTCATAACCTTGCCCGACAACGAGGAGAAGCAGCCTGAGGTTGTTGAAAAGATAGCGCCCAAAACCGCCATCAGGATGTTATCGCCAAAGAAGGACTCCCAGCTGAAGTTTCTTTCCTTGGATTCGCCCATCACCGACGATCCACAAGTATCCAAAATGGCTGCTTCCAGCGCGAAGAGGAACAACTTCTCCGATATAAAGGGTGTGCATTCGAGGGCTCTGATACTCAGATCTCAGCAAGTACGCGAATCTTCGCAGCCCGATTCGTCTTCCGCATCGGATAAAAAGCGGAAAAGGGCGGACGGCGGCGATAAGCTCGAAGGAACAAAGAGGAAATCGATGGACGCGGAAGATCTGCAAGATGGCGGCTCCTGCCATTCCGGCGATAGTTTCTTCTCGAAGGCCACGTACGTGAAACGGCCGGCGATCACCGATACCGGAACCACCACGCCAAAGAATGTTACGGTGGCTAAAGAATTCCATTCCAACTCGACCATTCCCAGTACCAAGCCCTTGGAAACGGTGTTGCTGAGCTCTGATACGGACACTGACAGCAGGGAGAGCCAGGAGAAGGACGGGAAGAAGGCGTTCAAGAGGATTTCGACGTTGCGTGGTTCAGGCACGGATTCTCTGGAACTTGTCTGTTTGGGCAACGAAGTAAACAGTGATCAGGTCGCAGCGCCTCAGATGACCAAACGGAAACGGCCGTTGTCTCCGGACTCCGACTGCGATATGGAGCTGAACGCGATAGCGAGCAATTGGTACAAGGACTTGAACGCAACCGATAGGCACGCGAAGAAAGGAAAAGTGGAGCAAACTCGTGCTTCCTCGGCTTTTATGCACGCGTCCAGCGAGACGAAAAAAGACTCATTAACGACCAAGATACCCAACAGAGTCTATACCCCGATGTACAGACAACCATCTACGATCGACGTTGGTTCGAGCTCCGATGGACGAAGCTTTCGCGTTAAAAGGCAAGAAACTTCTTCTCAGAACAGAGGAACGTTCGACTCCGATTCTCCGGACTTTGGTTCGACAGTGGACAGGATAAGAGACATACAAAAGCGGGCGACCGAGTCCAGCGACAATAATAAAGATTCTGACCAGAGACGAGAGGCTATGCTGCACGACAACTTCGACGAAATAATGGCCAACGTCGACACGGAAGCAATACTCAACGAGTATTCCAAGAGCAAGCCGCGATCCCTGAACAAGGACGATCCTGAGCTCCATAAATCTTGCAGTTCCGACAAGGAGAACAAATACAAGGAATCGGAGCCATTGTACGAAAGTTTCAGCGACGAGGAGAAAACCCTGACGCCGGGATCCGCGAACGTCGTCGATAGGAAGAGAAACCCGATGCACGGTGATGAATTGCAGGGGAGAGTGAGCAAAGAATCAAGGAAGAATATTTGGGACAAGTCGGCAAGCGATCCATTAGCCGACAATGACAAAGCGGTTGGGAACGCAAATATGGAAGCGACGAGTTACGAGCATGATTCTCTCATGGACGTCACGCAACATTATTTGCAAATTAAGCAATTCGAGGAGGATCTGTTTGGCAAATCGACGAACCCCAAGATGCAGCCTGATAAGAAGAAAGAGACGAGAGAACAAAGAACTCCGTCCAAGAATGCGATCACTGGACTCTCCGGTGCGAAACGAACGGTTTGTTATTTTTTTTTCATTAGTAATTGGTTCCTTTTTATTAAAAGTTACGAAATAATTATTGGTATAAGAGTCTATGGGTTTTACAGGCTTAAAATTAGCATTAGAAAAGAAAGTACTGCCATCTGAGATTCCTCCCCGGGCTGCAACTTTCATTGATAATAAAATTTTTATTTAGATCTCAGCTGGCACGGTTTTAGTCGTTTTTTAAATAAACGTAACATTCTCTAGGAAATTCTTATATTAACGTATCAAACATGGTGAAACCGATACGGCCGAATTTTCTTTCGACCCTCGAATGTTTGATTTTCTTTTTAATTCGATTAAGAATGTCATTTATATGCTGGTATTAGTCCATCGTGGCATTTATTATTCTACGCGACTATCCATTTCGCCGTTCACGAGATAAACAAAACCCCTTGTTTGTCATTCTCAAAGATTTACTCCACTTTGAAATATCCAGGACGCCGAACACTCGGCCGAAGAAGACGACATTGTCGAGAACACTCCTGACGACAAGATGAAGACGTAAGTAACGCGAGACTTATGTCACTGCTTTACTCTCTGCGTTATTCTCGAGCGCGAGTAATTATCCATTCGCGTAGTTTCCCCTGTATTGTCAGTTACATTCAAATTGTAATATGTGAAATACAGTATTTTCTCGTTAATCATCTTCTATCTCGTTAACTGCACCGTAGCCACCAGATTTTACTCACCTTTACTAACACGTTCATTCTAATCTCTCATTTTTCTCGATAAAAACCCTCTTCGTTAATCGATACACGGAAAATCGAAAAAACTAAATAAAGAAAAGAATTTCTTTATATCGTCTCGCGCCAAAATAACGCTTGTTTTCTCTAATAATAATCGAAAGCAGCGCCCAACCGACCAGCGCGACGACGAAAAGTAGTTCGAGTATATCACCGATATCGAGGGTCGGCATGAAACAGTTTGCGAGGACTCCGTCGACGGTTGTTGGAACGAATTCGAGGAGAAGCACACCGCTTTGCAAGAGGAGGATCCATCCTCTTTGCGAGAGCACGCCGATAGCGCAGACGAGCAGGAAGAATAATTTCGAGGCCGGCACGAAGCGCACGGAAGATAAGGGATTCAAGTCAGCGACGAGTACGAACGATAAACGAACGACGAACGTGTCGGGAAACATTGTACAGAGCTTTGCCAGGCAAAGGTTGTGTTTCGTTTGCAGCGGTCTGGGACAGGCTCAAATTGAACACGTGAAGAGGCTGGCAAGTATCGTGAACGCGCGATACGTGACTCAATTCGATCCCGATGTGACGCACGTTATCGTGAAAGCTGACAAGGAGAATAACGGGGCCAGTAAAACGCTCAAGTACTTGCAAGGAATCGCTTACAGGAAATGGATCGTCGTGGACCAGTGGGTCACCGATTGCTTGAAGGAGAAGAAATTAATAAACATGGAACCCTACGAGGCGGTGGACAACAGGACTCTCGAGGCTGGTCCTCGAAAGTCGCGGTTAAGGCAAAACAATAATTTATTCGAAGACTTCGTGTTCCTCTTCATCGGACCCTACGTGGACGTCACCGTCGAACAGTATCAGGTGAAAAATATTTCCTGGCTTCTGAAAAGATAAAACTTATCGTTTATATACCTGTTATTTTGTAACATTCCCAATGACTGTTATTCACGAGTATTAAGTATTATAAACTAAAGTTATTGGAGTATAAGATTGCAAAGGCGATTAGAAATCCTTTTCTTAATGGATTGTTTCCGCCTCGACGGGAGAACAAGAGTTGCAAGCGTCACGGTACATTACAGATTTGTTCCCGAGCACGCGTTTCACATGTTGCAAGCCAAAAGTCATGTAGTTTGTAATGAAAGTCTGTTCGCCGTATACATATATTACCAAGACTAAGGAAAGCATTTATTTACATTTTACTTGCTATCCAATCTTGCTATGCTATTTACAGTTGAATCCCTGCCAAGTTCTTCGGCTTAAGAATACGTTCTTCTTTAGGAGTTGCTACGTGCTATTGGTGCCACTGTGGTCGAGACCGTGGAAGCCCTAGCTGTTGAAAAGAAGAGGTTGAAAGTTATCGTGGTCCAAGCCAACTATTACAACTACGAAATCATTGGTGAGCTTATTATTTCACATATAATTAACCGAGCGTATCGTACAAAGATTTATCAGCCCTTGTTTGAAACTGTGGTTGCAAAGTGCAATTTGCGTGATTGTCTGATAAATGTGTTGAATGAATGAAGAACGAAAGTTGGAAAAGTTGTTTGAACCAGTGTAACAATATCTCCAATTCCTATATAAAATGGCAATCTTATGCAAAATAAGATCTCGAAATAAACTCTTTACATTGTTAACATCGATATGTTTGTACTTTAGCAGGCTGGTACAAGAAGGCTCGTGCTGTGCCAGTTGCCCACGATTGGGTAGTGGAGTGTATCAGTCAGTACAAACTGATATCCTTGTATCCATACCTGCAGGAGTTGGCGCGACAAGAAGTTCTAGCTTTAAATTTTCCAGAATTCCTCGTCGAACAGCAAGATTCTGACGAGGACTCGGATGATCCCACGAACAGCGACCACGTGATATAAACACAAATTACTTAAATCAAACAAGTTTACCAAATAGTACTATAAATTTGATACTGCAAATATGCATCGGGCCTGTGAATTATTGTCGTTCAAGGTTTGCCTAAGTTTGATAACAAAGAGTATATTTGTTTCTGCAGAGAATATTATTATCTTTATACGTTCGAAGTTATTCGTTTCGATTAGATACATGTACATATATATGTTCGTTACTTTCTATTTAATACTGTTTATCTTCTTTTTCTGCGCTGATTCTTACAAAGCGATTCAAGGTTCAAGGCTTGAACGGAAACGATTTTTAGATTAATAATATATGGTGTCATAAAATACGCGTTTATAACTTTACTTTTACGCCTTGAAACTTTTCGTAACGTAAGAGTATAGTGAGCATCGCGAGCGGCGAAGCACGGACTTTTGTCAATATGTCCCTTACCTGGAACCTTAGCCAGGCACACACGTGCGTCGTGCAAACGTTAACAACGCCGTTGCTTATTACTTATCACGTTCAATTTTCAATTAGCCCGTGAATAGGGAATCGCCCAGTTTTTGGCCGCGGTACGGTGCTCTCGAATTACCGCGGAACGCGAAACTTACGCGTGTGGGTATTCTGTTCTATCTCGTTTCGCGAGTTCAGTCGGATTACCATTTGAATTTTTTAATTACAATAAACACGTGGAATTCAGCTAGGTGTACGGTATGTAGGACGAGTAAGTTGCTTACACCGTGCAATATGATCATTATGGCTAGGATCAGAGGCTGCGTATTGCGAGGTACATCGAGGCCGCTCACGTAATCACCGAAACACGCCAACTATATTGATTTGCCCGGGACCACCTGTAGCCAACTCTCGTTCCTTGTCTAGCGCCACACCAGCGGTTATGAATCTCCTCCAATTGCTAGCAAGTGAGGAGAAATAATCACTGTATAGCCGTCCGCGTATTCCAAGTGCCTCTACATATCTGGCGGGTGACATTAACCGGCCATATTTCACTTGTTAAAAATGCATCTTTCGATGACCCGCGTTCGTCTCCTAATTATTAAGACTCGTTACACACGGAGGACATTCGTTAAATCAAATAATCGACCATTTGTTTTGTAAATCTCCTGTGTATAAATATTCTTGTACAGCGATTTGAATAAATTTTCTATTCTTCGTACCATCTGTTCACTGTCATTCTCTCCCACCTGTTTCGCGATTTGGCAGCCTCGACAGTTGGATTTCAGTTGTTCAAGAGCAAGAAGGCAAATGTGGGCCTTCCTCTATCGACTCCCACGAGACGGTCCGAAATTACTTCGGGCAAGTACAGACCAGCACATGCAGGCAGAGATCAGCAGAGGCCAGTAGAGACTGACAGAGGCTATAGAAATATTAGGAGTGGTCAGCAGTGGTTAACAGAGACACGCAGAGACCAGTAAACTTTAACGAAATCGATTGACAGTCATTGCGTTAATGGCGAAATACAAAATTTGATCAGTGAAGGTACTTACCATTAGCAGCTAGTGTGCAACATTTTTAAAAAATGCATGCGGATTATTAATAAATGTAACTAGATCTGTTCTTTGCAAGGGCACAAAAATGAAATGTAATTTGATTTTCTTAATTATAAACAGAATTTAGGTGATCACAATTAGATAAATATTAATTAAATAGAATAAGTAAAAATTGTAATTATCGTATTAGCAATGGTTATTAATGGTACCATGATCACAGTAATATGAACATTTATTATTTATTTCCTTCGTTGCGAAGTCTGCACAAAACCTGTCGAAAAAAATACAAATCAATAGATTACCTAATATTATGTAAAATATCCGTACAAAATATTGAAATACATGCACCATATATTTAAAACGATCATTTATCGAATCCGAAGTTAATGGATTCAACGAAATCAAAAAGGCAAAAATTCCAAAACTAAAAAGCTATCGAAGCGTTAAAAGAAACAATCAAATTCCCAATTCGTCGATAAATTTCCCCCGTAATGAAAAATGAAAAGAAAACAGTAAAAATCAATCTCCCAGAAACTCGCGCGGGAGACAATGATTCAAAAAGGAAAAAAAATTAACGGGCCTCCGAAGCAAATGCAAAACAGACAACAACACATCCAGGAGATGAGTTTCATGTTTTCTTTATTGTTATTAAATTAATATGTTGTTCAAGAGACTTATATACGCGTACGTATGTGCACCAGGCGCGCGCGTCTGCACGCGTGCACATACCGTATGCCTATACGCACGTATGTATGTATTGTATATAACAGCGACAATTACAATGCATCGTTTATGATCAGTAATAATAATCGTAATCGAAAACCTTACCGATTACTAGATGGAAACAAAACTGGCGAAGTAATCATAATAATCGTTAATAGTACAGTCGTATTACTCGTAACCCTTAAGTCCATCGTTTAATGCTTATATCACTCGTTATAGATACAGGGATACAGAAAAATAATACCGCGCGGCTGTGGTGGAATCTTCTTAAAGTATGTATGTATATATATAAAAGGGGATCGAGGACTGTCATTAGAATAAATTGCTCTCGCATGGATTCGCTCTGTCTCCGGACTGGAGCACCGACGACGATCCAGGATCCAGGGTGCAGCGATCGTCGCGAGAAAGAAGCCTCTGCCTCGAACAATATCTACTATTCTCTGTGAACACTGTTTTGGCTTTGATCGATTATTCATTTTTGGAGAATTTCGAATCCCTCGAGACGTCTCTTGCGAAGCTGGTCGAACATACTCTTCGTGGAAGGGAAGGCTTCTGTACATATTTGGCGTCGATTGTTAGCTTAATGTCTTTTTACAATGGACGACATGGACGACCTTCGCTTAACCCGACGCAAGTATGCTTCTAATCTTTCAACATTAGAAATTACGTCTTTCGTGAACCGAAGGAACAGATTTTTGGCAGTGAAGGTTTCTCTCTTAGATGATAGTGCCGAATTTTACCTTTAATGTATTTTTACAATGGATGATAGGGACGATTTTGATTCGACCCGATGAAATTCATTTCTAATTTTTCAATGTAAGAAACCTTTCGCGAACCAAATGAACAGATTTTTTAAGGTGAAGATTTCTCTGCTGCTTTTTCAGTGTCTTTTTACAATGGACGACATCTACGACCCTCGCTCGATCCGATGAAGTGCATTTATAATAGTTTATTATTAGAAATTACATCTTCTGTGGACCGAATGAACAGAATTTTGGATAAGGTCATTTTTCTGTTGATTGGCAGTGCATTTTTCATTAATGTCTTTTTACAATGAACAAGAGAGGTGGCCCTTACTTGGCCTAATGAAATGCGTCTAATTTTTCTTGAATATTTCGTTGCACTACGGATCGCGTATGAATTGCTCTCGAACCGGTTTCATGAAGAACGTTCAAAATGAAATTGTGAATAGCTGTACGAAAAACTTTTATTCGTTAACGGTGAACGCTCGTTGGTAGTAGGTGCGCGGAGCTGAATTCAATTAACAGCTGTCGATTGCAGCCGACATGAGGGCATAAACAAGTTTTTGACGGCTGTCGACTCTAGCTTAGAGTTGTGTCGATATTGTCTAAGCGTTAGATTGGTGTTCGAAAATTCCAGTGCTTGATTAAAATCGACCGTTTAAAGCGAATGCAATTGTCCAGAATGTGCATCGTTTGATGTTAAACTCTGTTCCGTGACTCTATGAAAGTTTTTAAAATAAAAAAATGTTACCGTAGGGTTCCTTTAAAACACAAGAAAATAATTTCTGGATTCATTGATTTCAAAGATCGAAAGGACGATTCCACCTTCGTATAGAGCGATTAATCAAAAATTTATAAATGCGAAAATGGTTACGTCGATGTATGTTGCCTGCCCAAAAAGTTGCTTCGTTTCTAATTCGGATCAGCCAATCGTCTACGTATCGTCTCGAACGATAATTAATCTCTCGATGCTCTTCAAGGCAGTAAGTCGAAGCAATGGCCGATCTTCGCGACGATTCTTTGCACCGGGACTACCTGGCTGCGTCAAGGATGCATTTACGCCGCTTTGAACAACGTTAGGATAAATTGTAGCTTTACTTAACGATCCTACCAGCCGAGCTCGTCTACGTGATAGCGAGATCGGGATATCAATTTTACACGAGCTGCACTATTTAGGTCCTTGGTCCATTTTCGACGCATACGTTTATTTACAAGACATCGTTACGTTTGTATATTATTTTCCCTTTGGTGCGCGCATTTACCACTTTATCGTCGTTAGTATTTATTATTCTCTCGTCACGTTTTCGTGTTTTGTATGCTCAGTTATCCTCATCGCGACGGATCGAGAGCGAATCGTCGAGAGGGCCTCCGTGTGTTACATGTAAATCGTTCCACGCGTCGATAATCAGATCGGGGAAACTCGCACGTGTTTTTTAGCGGCCTCTCGTCGAGGGACTAGTCGAGTAGCTCGAACGAGTACGTCAAACAAACACAATCTCTACGTCGGATGGTTCTCCTTCGAATTAAACGTCGTTAAGCACTTTTGGACGATGCCCTGCCGTAGGAGAGAGGATTCCGTGGCGAATCGGACTTCCGGGGATTTTCGTTTTAACAATCATGGTCGAGCTCCATTCGAGGATTTGCTTTTTTACGAAAGAAATACGTAAAAATTGATAAGATACTCGCATTCGAAGTTGATCCTTGAGAAAAAAATTCAGTGACCACTTGGTTGAAACTCTTTACAATTTAATGGATATATTCGATTGAATTAAATAATTTTCTAAAGTTGTCAAGAGTACTTGAATTTAGTTAGATTTCATTGAATGCTTTTGAAACCAAATATAGAGTTCCAGAATTTTGTCGCGACACGATACAAATGGACGAGCAAACAGAAGGAAAATCATTGTCCAAGCGAATGCAACTCGTCGGTATTATTTGATGACCCTCGTGGCCCTTTCCACCCTCTCTCTCCCAAGGGGTGGCAAACGTAAACGCAGTCAATCTCATCGTCCCCGCGGCGAAAGACGACATTCCACCTCGCCGTGATCGGTATGGAAATATCGAAGGTATTCTCGAATTTTACTCGTTCCCTCCGCTGGTTTCTTCGTATGACATGCTATTACCTGTATATGACACATTTACAATAATAACAATATGTTGCTTGTCGACAATCGCCACGGTCCACCTCGGTCCTTAATCCGTACTTTATGTATACGTGTATATTTATATACTCATATTTATATATTTATATATTTATATAATCCGAAAAATTTTCAGTGTATCGGTGGTGGTGGTGTGTGTGTCTTCGAAGGTCTTGGACCCCCTTTTTCCTCCCTATTTGCAATCCCAGTGTCATTTCGTTCATACTCCCTCCCCCTCCCACTCATCGTTCTCGTTCGCTCAAATCAGCTTTTATCACAAAGTTTCGAACGCGTCGTTGAAAATTTGAGTTTCACGCTTCGCACGCCGCCAAGCAACGATAATGATTCGTCGCGATGATCGAAATAATCGGCGGGAAGTAAAAGTTTTATTCCTACGCGATTCGATTCTGTCCAATTGAAGCTGACTTGCGCACCAAATCGCGAGTGAATCTTTCAACTTCCCGCCAATCTAATGCTGGAAAATCAAGCGTCGCGTGTTTTCGAGTTTCGAGGCGAGATTTAAAAAACGAAGATTGCATTCTTCCAGGGGAAATCAACGGCAGAGTAAAAAAAAATCATGAGAATACGTGATATTGATGATTCAATGCGTCGAGTACTACAGTTTACGTCACGATACAGTGTATACGTACTTTTAATACGTTCGCGCGTGATCGAGGCAAATTACAAATACTGTGTGCGTGGTCAAATAATCGTCCTTATTTTTTCATTCTCGTCGAGAGCCTGTAATTTTTCACGTTTTGCAGGACGTCTCTCTCGCAGAAATTTCCCTAGACTTTTACACGATTATTATAAAATTATAATCGATTTAAATCCAAAGTAGAGTAGGCTTTGATAGTTTTTTATTGCCAAATATTCCTGTGTTTTGCTGGAATATCGTTCCTCTACGGTAAGAAAGGAAAACGTATAAGGTCATTCTCAATTATATGCTAATAACTCAGAGGCAAATCCAGAGTACAGTGTTATAATAAATTAAGGACGTTGAAAATACTATACATTGTCCTTAAATTTCCACAGCTATATCCAGTCATATATTTATTAATATTATCAGGAAATGTCAAACGTAAAAAACGCAAGAAGTACAAAAACATCGAACAGGTCAAACATATATTATGTTTTATTTCCTTTTCTCTAACACATAAAAAATATTAATTGCACGAATTATACGACATATTTTATAAAATTTCAAAGAAAATAGGCCAAAAGTTAAAGTTTTTATAGTTTCGTGTAATAAGAAGTAATTGTACATCAGTTTGCTCTTTGATATCAATACACGATAATTAAGAGGAACGTTCTCTAATTTTTTGGCCGATTATTTGTATGCTGTAACGAGCCAAAAAAGTCAAGAACATTCTCTAGACTTTCTGCAATTTTATTAATCGATATTGGATACAATGATTATCATATATTTTTTATGAACAATGTAACATTGCACTCTCGTTTAAAGCTGAAAGACGTAAACATACTGTACATACACGCTAATAAATTAGATATCAACTCAGAAATTAAAATTTTGACATTCTAGTTTGTGTAGAATATTTATCTTGCTTTATGCTCTGGACTGTAGACTTATTGCTTGATGTTTTATCATGTAATTAAGAATCACCCTCCGTGTTGTATTTACAACTGAACGTGTGCAATTAAGTGTGCTCTAATTCGCGGGATAATAGCAATTTTTGCGAAAGAGAATAATCGCCTACCTCAACGCGTCCTCGAGAACATGACCAGCCCTTTTATCAATTCTCGTTTAATCATTTTATAAACATTGATTCGATTAGGTTTTCACGTAGAAACACGTGTCGACTGGTCGTTGAGAACGTATGTGGTGGAAACTTGTGCGCAGCATGGCGAATGGTAAAAAAATATTCGATAAAAGGAAGCATGATAGTTCGCGTCCAAAATACAAAATACAAAGACGAATTAAGTCGAGGTACGACGAATTGGTTTTACCATCGAGAGCATGGTTTTCGATTATCGTAATTGTCGCGCCTGCCATGATCAAAGAAGCTATTAATCTACAGCAAAAAGGAAAACGATGAATACGAATGCAAAAACGATCGATACGGGTTTTCTTAATTTTACATTGATAAAGTAATAATTTCCATATCGAACCGGTCTTAATTTTCTTGTACCGTATACACGGCATTTCTGGCGAAAAAAAGAAATATTTTAGTTTTTCTTTTCCTTTAATTTCGTAGTCTCAAGCGACAACAACGAATATTCAGAGAAATGTATAAAAATTGTTTACTAGTTATACGATTATTAATCGTTAATTATTAAATCGTTAAGCGGTTATAATGCTTCAGAAACGTGCGTTTATACTCATGAGATAGCGCTCACGTGGCTCCAATTAGTATTATATTTATGCAGAGGTAATTACCATGTTAATTTTAATTATATTAATAATGGTAATGTTAATTACCAATATTATGATAATTATTATAATTCCCATATCATAAATTATTATTCGTTTTTGTGGCATGCTCAACATGTACGAGGATAGAAAACCATGCCTTTACATTTATAAATATTAACATAGTGTAATCAGCCTAGCAGGTTTCTGGTGTTCTTAAAAACTATTCGAATGTTCTTGAAAGAAGGAATCGATGCTTGTAAATGAATTAAAAGTTAAGGTAGATTTTTAATATTTTCTCTCAAATTCCTTACAATTTTTTGGTAGGTTTATATTATTTTTCGCTATAGTGTCACGATGTGTTTGTTAATCACACGTACGGTTTAAGGTCTTGCGACGATTGATCAAACATTTACATTTGTGAATATTCGTAACAGAAATAAATATATTACAGTGCAAATAAATAACTTGCGTACTATGAAATTAAGTAGATTTATTTCTATATATCACAGTTTTTAATAGGAATGCACAGTGAATTTTGTTTTGTCAATAATTACGAGATAAATTTTATTTAATTAGATGTGTCTATTCCAATACGACTAATTTTGTTCAAACTTATTTTTGCGCATTACTTTAATGAACGATGTGGAAACTTTTAGATTGGAAACACAGATTCTAATATATTTAGAAAATCATAATTTAATTATATTCCAAGGGATTCGAATAACTCTCACTACTCTCTCTAACCACAATACGACCACATTATGATCAATAGTAGAAACAGTTTCTCTAGACTTTGGTTGCAAAACTCTTCTACCACATTCTGTTATGACCCCCCCCGTAAACCCACTTGACTCAGAAGTCATTATCTAGATTTTTGAAGTCTGATTTAATTATTATTTTAAAACAAAAGTGTGACCTACAAACAATTCGTTCACGACTATTTTACTATTTCTTCTTCTCGTTTTTCGATTCATATCCCATTATTAAACACCTACGGTTCTAATTGTGATGAAAAATAAAATACAGTTTGGGTCATAGAGGGCTTACTTACGGATGGAAAGGGTTCAATTTCTGTCTCGCGAAGGCATCGCAAGACCTCAAAGCCATACTCGATCCTTCTGTCCAAGACGCTCGACTCGACGCTGAGAAAATCAACGGGTCTGCAAAAGCACGAACGTATCCAAGGCATTCGCTTGAACGCAAACAGAGAAGCACGTTTTCCTCGTTCGTATCGCCGGCCATCGAACCGAAATAAATTCCTCCGCCGAGCATGCTACACTAAGAACAAGATCGCGAATGTCGACGATAGGAAAGGTTGCTCGAATCTCACTTTCACTCGCGACGATCCCCATCACGTTGTGGCACATCATGCTCGCTATTGCTATTTTGTAAATATCAGTGTCGTTACGCGCGACAAAAAAATTGACGCGGACGAACAGATTCATTCTCGTTCGCTCCCTCTCCTTTTCGCGGCTCTCAGACAACGTTTTTTTCTTACATGTACATACCCGTTATAATAAAATACACATTCACGAATGTCACGAGTGCTTTTTGTTTGTTTCTTTGTTTCGTTTGCTCTCCCGTCTACCTTTAACGAAATGAACCGTTGCTCGCGCTTAAATCCGCGATCCGTCGTCCTCCCCCGCTAAATCGATACCCTCGCGTCTACGAGTTTATTTATATGTACAAGTTGGTGGAAATTGATTAAGTGTTCTGATATCTCTCCCGTCACTTGCTCTCTCTCTTTCTCTCTCTCTCTCTCTTTCGATCACTCTCACGCCGTTATAAAAAATTGATTCGTTTCACCGGAGACTTATCGTTTAACACTTTCCCATTCCCCCTCGTCACGGCCCTTACACCGACCTTAAAATTAAGCTCGTCCGATTCGCGTGACCGGTGGTGGCGTAATTTCACCTCTTAGATGTTGCACCTCTTTAGCGCGTGGCTTATGAAAAATATTCTTCGAAGACAACCGCGTGGCCCATCACAGATAGTTCCGGCGTCGGAGGTACGGGGGTGCTGCGTCGCGTAGAAGACGAAAGACGTGCAACACTTTCAACATTGTTCGCGTTCGTTTCCCTCTAAAATTAAACTTATTAAGGTCGTCCCTTACGTCGTACGTATGTATATGTATGTAACAAGAGTCCTTCGTCCGACTATGTACACGTGTTCTCCGTCCTTCTTCGTTCCATCTTCGAAACCACGGTCCGAACGGGCGGAGCTTCACCTCCCCCGGTGATCGATCATCGTCCTTTTGCCCGATGGTAAAACGTTCGCTCTCCCAGAGAGTTCATCCCGTTCGCGATCACCAGGGAACGATGGTCGCTTACGGTAAAGGCGCGTGTTTCTAATATTTACATGCCATCGAGGACCACGAAGTCCGCTCGGCTGCAAGTCCCCTCCCCCTCCACCCCCCATGGAGGGTCACGGGCTTCTTTTTTTTTTTTTATTTAACTTTAAGGCAGTGTCGTTCGTCCGACGGACAAACACGAGTTTCATCCAGGTTTCTTTGGCGACAACGGAGGAGGCGTGCATCGAACCCTTCGAGGATTCCCTCCACGTGACTTTCAAATCCGCGCCAGCTTCCGTCCAGGATACCACAGCAAAGCCAGGACGAGCAGCCGCCTGCGCCAGGATCGACCACGATCCTGGCCGGCGCGGTACGATGTTTCGAATTCGACTTCGAAGCACGGCTCCGTGTGTCATACGGGCTCCTCCCGCTTGAAGTTGATGTTCTGCGAGGCGCAGAAGTCCCGCGTGAACGGGATGCAATTGAACAGCTTGCAGACCTCGCACTCGTACACCGGCACGTTGTAGAACAGGGTCAGAAGAAGGGTGAACAGTAGGACGATCAGGATCAGGCAGATCCAGATCAGCCAGACCTTTCGTCGGCGATCGTAGTGGCCGAACGAGATGAAAGGCATCAGGGCGTACGCGGCCAGGAAACCGAAGATGAATCCGAACAGGTGGGCGTAGTTGTCCACCCACGGAAGGATACCCAACACTAGCAGACCCAGCAGGATCACGATCAGCTTCGTCAGGGCTCTTCGCGGTTGCTTCAGCATCGGCCAACAGTGCAGAACTTCGACGATCAGCGTCGCCAGAAGGGCGAAGTGCGCGCCTGCTGGCCCCACCTGCAATCATTCCGTAAGGGATATCTGTTTTATTTTAAAGACGATGGAATTTGTTGGGAGAATTTTAGTTACGGCTGTGTTGGCGACTTTTGGTGTACTGAGGAAGCGATGAGATTGAAGGAGGAAATAAAAGGAAAGAGAGTTTCATCCTGGGCTTGATAGTGGGATTCATCTGCAAGGCAATCGATTAATAATTGGTAGAGGAGTGCATATGTAGGAGTACTTGTGAGAGAGCTACAGATTGAGCGTAGCCCTCTGCTGGCGAGTGTGGCAGGTGTCGCCACAACCAGGACTAAGAATAATAAAAGTTCGATCGATTCTGACGTTTTAGTAAAAACAGTGTAATTTTACGAGAGTCAGATTCCATATTTAAAGTTACAGAACTTGTCACTATTATTTATCAGCAATTTACGTCGAGTTTGATTAACGTAACGAATATAGTTCCCAATTAAAAGAAAAGTCGCATTTCAATATAACCATCAACGTAAAGAATTTCAATACGAATATCTAGCATCAAAATTAAGAAACCAACAGTAGGAAAGGAAACATAGTAAAGACTCTAATAAATTACGTAATTTGTATATTAATTCGTACAAAATTCTGCTTTCATCAGATTAGCCCTCTAACATTATGCAGCAAATTGCCTCTTTAAAGGGGTCTTTTACCGTAAACCGCCAAAAAATTCGATATTTTCTTTTGCATTTTCTTAAAGAATACAGTCTTAGAAATATATGTGCAAAAGCATATCATCGAACTCCTACAATTAACTAAAGTCGAGCTATACCTGTATGAACGGTCTGATACTTCTGTTTCAAAACTATACTTTCTGAATTGGCTTCCATGACACCTCCAGATCTACTCGATCGATTTCGTTCAAATTTGTCGTGTACCTTCAATACATGTGTCGCTATAACCCGTACTAGAATTAAGACAAAATCACTATTCTTTCTATTTCTTTTTTAGCCTGCTAAAGTTAAAAACAAGAAAACAATCGATATTTCAACTTTAAAATGCTGTCATTTTTTTAATTAACAATTTTTTTCTGTCCCTTTAGTACCGAATATAGAAAAATGTATCCTAAATAAGAATCTTTTCCATTTTCTTAGCTTAGGTAAACAGAACGACTGGAATTATGAAAGCTATTAGGAACACTTTTTCGAGGCTCTGTACTGCCATTAATTATTACTATTTCTCGTTGTAAAAATTTGTGAATATTACTAAAAGTGTAATAAATATATATGAGAAACAATGTTGCAAAAACTTGCATAGTTTCTATATAAAAAAATAACAAAGTGAACATAAAAAACGCGTTTTACATTAGAGGACCCCCTTAAGGTTTCTTGTATCCGAAGTTACAAAAGTTATTCGAATGCTTGGAGCCATTGCGTTCAGGCTCTCCCCTTATAGAAATCAGCGTTGGGTATCACGGAACGAGGCGCGAGGGAACAATAATTAACACTATATCACTTAAAGACATAGTTCTCCCGGATAGGGGGCACATTTAACCAAACTAATTGGAACAAATTGGACGGTACTAGTTCTCCGAGAACGGTGCTTTACGTCCGCTTTATTCTCGTACCGCCTATATAGTCTCGCCCCCGAAGCGCACAAGCCCGGTGGAAGGAAACAGTTGGAAATAGAGACGACGGGAATGGAATTGACGCGCAACTCCAAGTTCACCGAGGTGTTAAGGGTTAAACTATCGAGCGATAAGACGACGGGAGTGCGCGAACGACGCCGTAAAGCAAACGATTCTAATACCGTTTACCCTTTCTGTGGATATGAGTCGCGGGCGAAAGGTGGCCCCCAGGAGCAATTACTTCGCCTTGGCGGGTCAAAGACTCGATTAAATCGACGATACACAATGAAACGGTCCGTTAAACGCGCCGTGAGATTATTCAATTAAAACTTCGCAGCGCAGCTAATAAAACCGTTGCCTGGGGGCGGGTAATCGCGGACAGATTCCGAATTATAATTTCTGACGAGGCTGTCCGTAGTTTCCCCCCCCTCTCGTTATCGACGAACGACGATCCAGTCGATTCCTATTTAGTCGGAATAATACGGAGGATGGTCCGAACATTGATTTTTTATTTTAACCTATTTTTACAGAACGACTTAAAAGTCGTTTATTTGACTCATAGATTTGTTTCTGTTTGATGTCTCTAGAGCTTTCCATTCGATTAAAAATAACGGAACACATAATATTGGTCGTACTATTTGATTTTTATCTTCACTGGAATTAACTAATGCTGTCTGGATTTATTTTCTTTCCACGTCTCACCTTATTGTTTACTTTGTGGCGAAGAATCGTACTTTAGTGGGTCGCTCTAGCATATTTTGTCAGAGTGTCACATTCGTGATTTTACTTAAAGAATTATGATCGAAACTTACCTCAGCTCTGTAAGGAACGAATATCGCGCTGGCCAGGTTTCCAGCCAGAGCCCCGATGAAGTAGATCAGCGCGATACGCACCGAGCCAGTCAGCTTCTCCAAGTCCCGCATCAAGAAATACTGCACCATTATCGTGATCGACAAGTGAAGAATTCTGCAAGCGGAACGCGAGATCGTGTATTAGCAAAGCTCCGTTCAAAGTTTTGTCCAATCAAAGATCATTCGAAGAAGATTGCACGGTGGACCTTACCCGGCGTGAAGAAAAGTGGTGGTGAAAAGCCTGTAGAACTGATCTGGCCACTCGGGATGAAGAAAGGGAATCATGCCGCATACGTCGTGCAAACATTCGACCTGGGAACAGAGCGACGCCTCCTCGTGGAAATAACCGTGCACGAAGTCACAATACTCTTTCGTGGTGATTCGACACATCCCGTGAATACCGATGCAACACGGATGACCAATCACTTCGCACACCATGTGCTCCGCCATTTTGTCCTTGTACCGGCCCACAGGGAAGTTTCCGTTGGCCCGTTGACTTCCGTTTCTACTGTTGAGCAACGGAAAGGATTTTTTTCGATATTAACCATTCCTCAGAAAAGTCGACAAAGTATATTATCAACCCTTACGTGGATTAAACTAACAATTATTTAATATATGTCAATGTATCTATTTGAAAATTTATGTAATCCTCTAAATGCCATAAGGGAAAGTTGATTTCTATTTACCAATTTGGTACAAAATCAACATTAAGTAAATTAATTCAGTTAAGATCGAGAGTCTACTTAAGGGTTAGAGTTCTACTCGTACAGTGATCCCTCGCGAGTTGCAATTTATCTGCGATCAGGTTGTTACAGTTTGCGTAGGAAGTAAATTAAATTATCGTTCTCGATTATAGCGTAGGAGGGACGCGTGGATAGCGGTGAATAATTTTTGTTTACAAGGGAATATCGCCTTATAAAATTGAACACCCAGATAGAGTACTGAAAAAATATATTCTTATATCCTAATCGAGAGATCGAAACGTCAAAAAAATCTCAGTTAGAATGTGAGCAAATAAATATAAAATTAAATTGTGGGAACGCCATTTATTCGAATTCGTCGTGGAATAAGACAGTTTGGATAATGTTTATTGGTCCGTGTATCTAATGGGAATTCAGGAACGTGCTCGGTAAAACCGTGATGACATTAGATCGGAGAAACGGGGGTCGGATGAATGGAGTTCTACAATAGTGAGTTTCAGAAGTTGGCGAAATATTGGGGGTAACGTTCAATTTACCTGAAACGTTGGTTGAAGGGATTGGTCTTCCGGCAGATGGGCCATTTGGTGATGTCGTCTGGCCATTCGTACGGCGCTACACTTGCTGGCGCATCGCAAAACTTTGGATCCAATCCGCAAACAGATCCGCTTATACGCCCGCCGGGTCCGCTGTCCCCAGGTCCCCACTTTTTCCAGGTCGATATCGTGTTCTATAGTTTTCATAAGCGTTACTGACAATGCGCACTTTGTTCGATTTGTATCGCGGAACAATGCTCGCGAATTTCATCATGCAATATCATAACTTCGTTCGTAACATTATAGAACACACAATGCCTTGAATATGTTGCGTCGAAGTATTCATCGGAATAAACTATACATTGGAAATTCGCGAAACGTTTCGAAATATACTATTGAAATTACGTGGAAGGTAGTAATTCCCCTCTTATTGATATTTCAGAGTAATTAAGAACGAATAAAAATTTATTCTAGACTTCTTTTTATTTCGATGATATTTTAGTATACTTCAAGAGGCCTCTACGAAGAGACTTGCAATATTAATTCCTTTTTATTTCAAAATATGAACAAGATACAGGAATTGTTACCTATCTCTATGTAATTTTTCGAAATGGTAATATGCTATTAAAATTACTTGGAAGGTATTAATTCCGGTAGTAATTCCCCTCTTATTGATATTTCAGAGTAATTAAGAACGAACAATTCTGGGCTTCAAAATTATTCTGGGCTTCTTTTTATTTCGATGAGATTTTAGTATACTTCAAGAGGCTTCTACGAAGAGACTTACAATATTAATTCCTTTTTATTTCAAAATATGAACAAGATACAGGAATTGTTACCTATCTCTATGTAATTTTTCGAAATGGTAATATGCTATTAAAATTACTTGGAAGGTATTAATTCCGGTAGTAATTCCCCTCTTATTGATATTTCAGAGTAATTAAGAACGAACAATTCTGGGCTTCAAAATTATTCTGGGCTTCTTTTTATTTCGATGAGATTTTAGTATACTTAAAGAGGCTTCTACGAAGAGACTTACAATATTAATTCCTTTTTATTTCAAAATATCCACAAGATACAGGAATTATTACCTAGCTCTACGTAAATTTGTCGAACAGAAAGCAAATAACTATAGAATTTCGAGGCCTAAATATTACCAGCATCGACTCTGTCATGCAAAAATAAAACGCAGCTTCCGTGTAATAAATAAAATTGACTGATGCTGCGAACGCAGTGACTTAATAGCAACCAAAGAAACACGACGAACAACGTATTAATGTCGCTGAAATTTACCGTAGCAGTCGATCTCAGTCCCCGGACCAGTTGGTTCGCAAAAAAGAAGATCATATTATAAACACGTACGACAATGCTCGAGTCTAGTTTCTACTCGTACGTTCCATTACAAAAAAAAATCTTCGTTGTCTTGTATCTTTTATTTTTCGGAGGAAAAACTAAATAAATACTCACAGAGCAATCCGCTTTACTAGACTGCACGCAGCCGGAGTCGTCGTTTCTGATGCAGCAGGCTGTGTCGCGTTCTCTTTCCCGCCAGACGTCGATCTCTTTCAGAATTTTAATATCGCGACGCATACACGGCGCGAACTTCGCGCCCAGGTGAATCAAATCCGCGGCCCGCGGACCAAACCAGAAATTCGCTGGTTCCTGGTAGTCCACTTGCTGCAGCGACAGGCTCGTAACGAGAACCTGCAATCGAAATTTTCGTACAGTTTCGCCAAGACGCCCACTACCAGCCAAAACTACGAAATCATTCAACTTATCGCGTGAAAATTTATTTCGTTGGGTCGACAAATTTTAAAATATCGTTTCTGTATCTGGATAACCGATCACGAGCGATTGAAACTGGTATATAATAATATTAAGTGTCTAACAATTGCAAGACGTAAACTCACCAGCCCCGATCTGTGACTAAGATCCATGCCCAGAGGCCCGAAACCATAACACGCTAAAGATATTATCAAAATGAGCACTTGAACGATAGTGATCCAATACGTAAAGTATGGTCGATGGTCTTCGAAGTCGTCTAACTGCTTTCTGACGTCCGGCTTCTGGGACACGCTCTTTCGAAACGATCTTCTGCAATCACGAGAAAACGCGTTACTCGGTCTTTTGAACGAATTAAATTTACTTAGACTTCGGCTATAACGATTTACTTTGAGCTGGAAGAATCGAAGTAATTGTTTAAATTGCTAATAAGCACTTTCAATAGTGCCTCCTAATGATTCTCAGTAAAATTGGTATATTGCAAACTAAATGTACTTGTATCTCCAACTGTGGCTTCGTTAAAGTAGAGTATAAATAATTTCAGTTGCCGTTGCTTGCCGCGACTTTCCTTACTTATTAATTCTTTCGTAAATAATTTTATTTTAAAATTAATTGAATTAATGACGTGATTAATACACGAGAGCGTAATGAAAATCGGAACGTTAACTCGATCCACCAGTCTTTTGAACGGCGAAATGAACCACGGTGCAGGTTTCATTTGTCATTCAAGAGAAAAAGTAATTTATAAAAGCCATATTGAAATACGTTGGAAAAATTACGACCATTTTCCCAGCGCTTGCATTGATACCGTTACCGCTGTTTCTATACAAACGTTATCAATACACAATGACATCCTGCGATAAGTGGAGAAACTCCTGCTGGTATACATTTGCGGACAAAAGTTACAAAATTTCAGATATACGAGAGTTATCGTAAGCAGCTGGGTCGACATAAAAATATTAATAAATAAACGTCCCACCGAAGTAAAAAAGTAAAATAAATGAATGTTCCACATTTTTCATGAATATGCTGCTGGAATATACTAGTAATGAACTTTTGAATTAATTTATTAGTATAAAAATCCGTTGTCACGTAAAGGATTAAGAGATGAGCATTTATCAATTTTTTACAACAATACTATACGTACAACAAATTTAAAGAAATGTTTGCTCCACCAGTGTAAAAATTACATGTTTCGGGAGTATTATTATTCCTTAAAGTTGCATAATGGGATCCAGTTTTTGAGGGTAGACGATTAATAGTTTACAAAATGTTTAATATTAAAATCATTTCCCATGTATAAATGTCTCGAGCACAATTTCGTCGTTATTGATTTCCGTTTTATTTTGACCTGTAAAAATCTCTCTAAAATATTTACCATCAGCAGAGAAACACTCTCCGTGGAAGTAATTTCGAACGTGAGAAAAATACACACTTCTCTGCCAGCAATTCGAGCCATTATTGACGCGTCGATGAGTTTAAGAATCACGTTTCGTGTAAGAATATATAAGCGTATGCGGTGTGCGGGAAATATCAACGAACCAGCTGACATTTTTTAAATATCACCACGCTTTGTCAAGACGCCTCGAGTCACGGTTTCATTTTATTTCTGACATTTGCCGTTCGTCCGCGTTTGTTATTTGTGCGTTACGTGTATCTCCAACTGGGTCGTATCTACGCGATCGTTAAAGCGAAGAGTAGAAAAGCTCGGGAGAAAGTTATTTTAATAAAGCCGCGTTATCATCGTCGCGACCGTGGAACGTGGAAATTGCGGAATAAAATGAGCCTGGAAAAGACGAATTTCTGCATTTCATTCTTCTCGCGTCGCTCGAACACGTTGCCATATGGAACTCGAAGGTTCGGAAGCACGGAACACTGGATCAATTAAGGTGCTAAAAAAAAAAACATTTTTTCCACGTGGCAACTGAAATTTCTCTGTTGGAATCTCTAACATTTCTCTGGCATATTTCTCTGTTACTTTCAGCATCGATTGCTTCTGTGCTCGGAGGCTCGACGGCGATGAATTGTAAACAAGCGAGCATTTTTGCAAAACACTGTAAAAACTGTTAGAATTACTCGTACGGAATTTCATTTATTCGCCGTTCCAAAATCAATTTCTTCGTAAAAATCGATATATAACAAACGTATACGTCGGATGCTAAAACAAACTGATACGAAACGAGAGATTTCTCGTTGTGTGCACGAATGTATTTGCAGTCGTGTCTTTCTGATACGATGTTCGCGTTGTAAATAAATATTACAACAAAAATTCATGAGAAAATGTTTAACGACAAATATTTATAAAGTTACATATTTTTGAACCAGCAGCCGTAGAATTTAATAAAATCTGCACAAAGTACAATATTTAACCTGGCCATTGACGAAAGCAAGCTGCAGGCATATTCTCACAGTGTACTTCTGTTTCATTCTCGTATAAATTTAAATTCGGACGCATCCACCTTTTTGTGACATCAAATACCCAGTTTGTATCAAATTTTTAAAAATCATTAATGAATTTTGGAATTAGAACAAAGACACATAGACTTCAGTCTTCGGTATAATTTAAAAAATTTTTTAAATTACCAGGTACGTTTATACCTAAATTTAAAATCTGAAACGTTGCCCTGAAAAGTGTCAAATTTAGCACGGAAATAATCCTGCTACGTGAGTCGTACAAATATAATAATAACAAACACGAAACGTTTCAATCAATATTTAACATTAAACGAAGGTTAACAGGATGATCGTAAATAATACTCCGTACAACCGTATATTTTTTCTATCAATATTTTCTCTGACTAAACAAAGGTATTAAAATCGTTTTCGTATGCAAGTCTTGCATTTAAAGCGCTGTTCGTCGATCCGAATTCTCGTCGACTAGACATCGTCGTTTGAAGCGAATCATAATTTTCGCTGCTTTAATATCTGCTGTCTCGCTCGCTCAATCGGATTTCTCACCTGCGTAGTCGGTTCTCTCGTTCCCACATCTCCGCTGACCTACCCCATACACGAAAGCCGAGCTTTCAACGAAAGACGCTGTGTCAACGCTTTTTTTTTACTATTGCTATTTCGTCTTCCGTACGCATTTCCTGGAAAAAACTGGGTCACGATGCTTCCGGACATTTTAAACGCTACACTTTGAAGCGTTACATCCCGGGAACAAATTCAGATATCAGCTGGAAACCTTAAGATTCTGAACCTCAGGCTAGTTTCCTTTCAAACTCTCGCACACTTTCCCCAATCGTATCTTGCGTCCAAATTTAGCGTACACGCGTTAAAAAGACTTCTCGTCAATTTTAATTAATTGGAGAACACTGTGCGGTTAATTATGAAAATTTCTATGGATCACGTGCAACCGTGACGAGTACCGTTCCTACTAGACAATGGGAAATGTAAACTTAACGGAACATATTTTTTGTGCATTTCGTACGATTGTACTGGAACAGTAGTATTTTAAAAAATTTTATTCTTTGAAATAGATTTACTCTTTCAATTTTATAGAAAAAACCACAGTTCAAGAATGAGGTGGATTTTATTTGAAACGTAACACGTTTTATTTTATATTCATGCCTATAAAAATTGTTGAAATATTTCTAATAAATGGATAGAATGGTCCATCCAAAATCAGCAACGAGAATATCTATTTTATATTCTATGTTTGATAATAAAAATTGTGGTGTAATGTAATGTATCCCGATGATAAAGTTTACCAAAGTACTTTGTTGGCACGTCAACTAATAAGTTTCAGCTACCAAGGTATCAAACGAATAAACTTGAAATTAGTGTATGTAGAAACTTACCCGAAGAATCTGCCAACAATTCCCATGCCGTACTGTCGCCTATTACTGTTGTCAAATATTCTATCGATGGTGTTGGGAGAAATTCTAGTAGCTCCTGTTAGATCCCTCCTAAGAGACACCCCTTCTTCCTGATGCGCCCTTGTACCCTCGCCCAAAGAAACGTCGTACCTCGACCTGCTCCAACTCGTTTTTCTGTAATCTCTTTCTCGTTATAGTTCATGGCACTTTACACTCGACATTGGATTCTTTACATTCTATTCGACGTCGAGTCTCGGTACGAATTTGGAAGTTTTAAATTGACGACTAATTACGATTTACAAAAAAAAAAAATTGCATTTTCTAGTAAAAGTTTAGTATTCGTATATTTCCAATTTTGTACGTATTTCTTCATTAATTTCAAACTTTTATTTATTATTGCATGGATTATGGAAAGGAACAAGGGATTATTTTGAGTCTAATTTTGTTACTGTTGGTAGAATGACTGTCAGGACTAAGTTATTGCGAGCAAAGTAGAGAGAGATTCTCACCTTGAAATATAATGGTCCCTCGAGATGTGACGAGGTCTTCTGACCTGTCCGTCAATCGTCGTTCTCTCATCTTTCTGCGGTGCAAACCTGTGAAATCGCGATACATTTTTCATACAGCTGCAACTGTGACGGGCATGTTTATTGATAACAATTTCGGGCGTTAGATTTGTTTGGCATCTAGGTTAGATCGATAATAGTATCTTCCATGTACAGTGAAAACTCGATAAATGTCGCTACTCCGGGTCCGGTCAGCAACACTTACGGAATAGGAGAATCGTCTTTCGAATTTGATTGTAGTTTGCCGACGCTTCGAACGTAGAAAGAGTCAGTAGCTAAAGAAGAAAGAGGGACTGAAACTCGGATTTATCGCCCCAGTTTAAATATCCGCGTCAGTGTGACCACAGTACTGCACAGAAGAAAGTTTTTTATTTTTTACTTTTTGTTAATAAAAATTTCACTATCATGTTGGGGAGATTTCTCTGATTAAAATAAGGCTAAACACGATATAAATCGGTCAATATTTGGTAGCATAATATTGAATTAAATATTGTACTTGCGAGTCTTTCTCTCTTTATTTATCCTTCTTGTGCTGTCCTTTTCTATGTTCGGAAATATCAAAGAACGACGCATCGAGGTGCTGGCTACATTTATCGAACGGGAGGTAGCTATTTTCAAACGGAACGGTTCCACCGTTTCGTAAGTGATCAAAAACTGCAACACTTATGAAATAGGGGGTTTCGTTAGCTACCACTGTTCGATAAATGTACCAATCCACTGACCTTGCGAAGATACGAGTACACAATATTTAATTCAATATTATGGTAACAAATATTGGCCGATTTATATCGTGTTTAGTCTCATTTTAATTAGAAAATCTTCCCTACATGATAGTAAAATTTTTATTAAAAAAAAGTAAAAAATAAAAAAATTTCTTCTTGTACAGTAGTGTGGTCACACTGACAGGGACATTTAAACTAAGTTGACGAAGGCAATAAAGATTTTTAAAGAAAGCCGCTACGTCTCCGGTTACACTTCGCCTCACTGGTTCAAGGGGGATCCCCCTAGTGGTGGGGATAAAAATGTATCATTTATGGAACAGCTCTTGAAGACATTTATCGAGTTTTCACTGTATATAGTGACTATATTTATTTCTACTTCCGCGTATCGTATTTTATTTCATTCTTCAGTTTATATCCTAACACAATTTCGATGAAACATTGTTACATTAATATTCTCCATTTTGTGCGATTAGATGAATTTGCTTTAATTTAAAGTTTTCTATATTCTCTCCTTCACCTACTTCTATTAACGAAATTTAAGATTATGATTTAAAGGAAAATAATGGACAATCGCTATTAGCCAATTCTTTGTTATTTATTTTGAGAATATTCTTGCTTTTTTTCATTTCTTAGTGCTTGTTATCACCATTATTGTAACATCTACTGTATTCATGTTATGCACTCACTTCGAAGTAAGAAGTCGCCTTTGATATTTAAAAAACTGAATGTCGATCAATTGCAATGATCAAAGAAGACCTTTTACTCATAAAAAAGAAAAAAAATAGTACGAATGTATGTGGTGGCGACATTTTGAATGATATCCTTTCCTCGAACCGATGCATTAACTGATTGGGTTTTACTAAGGCTACATAAAATTGTAGTTTGACTTTACTTTTCCTACTGTTGAAAAATATATGATACTGGGCATTTAAAATAATTAGCAGACATGCATAAAATGTAGGAAAGAATAGAACGGGTAAAATTGTTTTTTACTCTTTTTATAAATATACAAAATTCAATGGAGAAAACAAATACATAATTTCAATCATAACATGATTCGATATTAAAGTGAAAATCGTTAGTGCGATAAATACAAAAAATCGTATCCATATTATTATATACACTCTGAAACGAAATGAAAGCATCGCTTGAAAAACAGTGAATATCGAACTTTCGTAATTTCGTAAAAAGTAGTCGAAAACCCAACTAAAAAAAACATTTTCGAGTTCGAAATCGCAATTTTCAAATCCTCTTAAAGGATTTCCTCGACAATCCTTCTCCAAGCAACGGCGCTACTTCCAAGCCGTCAAATTGTTTAAAAATCCTTTACTAGCGAGGTCGTGTGCAAAGTTGAAAAATTTCTTCTCAATTTTTATCATCGAAACATAAAATTTTAGAATCTAACGTTAAATTTCATCTTCTTTTCAACGGGGCTGATTTCTTTCAATATCAAAATTGAATATTAGCTTTCTTGGAACCAAATTCGATGAATTCCACGAGCACTAGAGTTATTTGGAAACGTATATGTGAAATATAGAAAAAAACTGAGTTATTTTCGCAGAAAAAATATCGAATAAGCGTGGAATTTTCTGATGTCAAAGTGGATTGAAAAATTTATTGCATTGTTTCTGAACGTAATATAATTAGAACCATTGGAATTTATTCATATCTTGATAAAACTAAAGCAGAACGCTTTAAACTTGTTTTCAAAAAGGAGAAAAAAATAATAATTTGTAAATATAACAAAAACATACTAGATAAATGTACAGGGTGAGTCATTTAATTTTTTCACCTTAATTTTTCTTGTAAACTACATGTTAGATGTTAGACAATGTTTATAAAAATTGATACTGAGACAAGTGTTGTGTAGAATTCTCATACACAAAAGTTTCATCATTCTTCACTGGATGATATCTCGGTAACTATTTATTTCTAACTGTACGTACTTTAATAATTTTTATTCTATATTCAATAGACTTTCGAATGACATGATTAAATGTTGTACATTGTAGTTAAAAAACTCAAGTCCTTCATATTTTGATAAAAAAGAAAAACAGCAAAAAATTAATTGTTGCCCTGTATGCCCCTCAAAAAATTTTCGTTCGAAACATGTTTTTATATAATATGTAGTTTACAAGAAAAATTAAGGTGAAAGTATTAAATAACTCACCCTGTATGCTATTTGTTAACTATTCAGGCTTGTGTGATTTTCCTACGTTTTTAAAACGTAATTATTAACTTCAATAGGTTATTTATGTTAGTTCCATGAAATGAAATACAAAATTAAAACATTCGATAAAAAATTAAAACGGGTCGTGGCTCTGTGCATTGTTTTGACGCGATTATGGTACGAGAAAAAATATTTCAAACACGTTAGTGTTTTCTGTTGAAGTCTCACCTGACCAATTCCTCGGAAGTTCCCCTTTCGGTTGCGGAATCGAGCAGATCCGCCACTTTCGCGCTGTCTTGTTCGTCCTTGGCCAATCCGTCGATGCCCTGTTCGATCTGTGGTTGCGATTGCTGCGGCGGTGGGGGCGGAAGCGGCGGCGGGGGCGGCGGAGGCCTGTCGAAGAAGGACCTTTCCTCGTCCTGGCCGGTTTCCGGGGACGACGCAATTTCTACCCCCGACATACAGGCTATTACGCTCGGTGGGAAGCTTCGCGATTCCGGTCTGGTTTGCGATCTCTCTCTGGGCCGTTGTCTCGTCAAGGACTGCAACGATACAACGGTTTGCCAATAATGTATCTCCTCCCTCTTTGCCGCGGTATCTCCTAAACGACTTTCATAAATCCGATTTCTATATTAATTCTCCACCAGGGCAAAAAGGCCGCAGTTTTTGCCCGGAGGCGTACGTCGCTGGAAACAAATGGTTCGGTCGGGGGAGGGACGGAGAAAAGCATGAAATCTCATTTCTATGTACTTTTGATCGTTATGGGAAGCCGATAGGAATCACATTTATTATACGTTAAGAAATAAGAGTTTCAATTAACCCCTTGACGTACTATTTAATTTCAAATAATTTGTCAAGCCTATATTATTTAATTTTGTTTAAATTCGTTCGTACAAGGAATGGCTACGAAAAAAATAGATTTGTTTTATGAATACTTCGTGAATATAAAAATGTGTTGATTTTAATACATAATACTTGATGACGAGTGAGTAGCCTCATGATTGTGAAACTTGACGTCATGAACTTATAACGTGTCAAACTCGCCATTGTATGGCAAGGGGTTAATTTATATGTGAAATTGTACATATCGATACAAAAAACGTAAACAAATAAGGAATAGGATATCCGGAAAATGATCAGTTTATCGATCGACGAATATTTGTGTTTTTCCATTTTCACGAGTTTCATGTTTCAGTGTTTCGCCTGCGTTCAGGTTACTTATTGCGCGTGGAAGGGCGTGAACGCGTTGCAAACGTATTAGCAATAACGTTTTGCCGGGTGTTATTGCTTTCATCGATGTTTATTAATCGGGCGCTAAACAGCCCCTCCAGTCTCTAATTGTAAACTAGAAACGCGTTTCCGCGCTCGTCTATTAGAACGACGTATCTATAACGCTATTATGGTGGCGGTTACTAATTTCGAGAAGCGTAACGTCATTCATTAATATTAAACTACGGGCTACCACGCGTCTGTTAACAATGCTACGCGGACCAATTGATCGGACCTTGCGTAATGCTATTTTACGACGGCCGATAACGAACGACCTCGGGAATTATTTTATGCAATTAAGCGTGCAATTATTCATATCAGAAAATACGTATGTGTAACTAATGTTACATTTCGACAGCTAATTCGCGCGGCTATGAGCCATAATGCCCCGCAATAGCCGCATACTAATCGTAGAGTAGCGGATCTCTCCCCCTTTTAGAATCTTTCGATTCAATATTCGACAGATCGATTCTACAACAATTAATTTTTTAACGAATCGCTTTGATTCAAAGTTGATCTCTAGATTAGAAATGGGCAAACTTTTTGTACGAAAAGACAAATTATAAAAATGCTAGACTTTACGAATAATTATCTGCTTATTCATAGATTTAAATATATGCAGGGTGCTTGGCCACCCCTGGGGAAAATTTTACCGAGAGATTCTAGAGGCCAAAGTAAGACGAAAATCAAGAATACTAATTTGTTGATTGGGGCTTCGTTAAAAAGTTATAGAAACATTTCCGGCCACGTTGTATATTTTCGGTAAAGAATTTTTTTCTTGAAAGTACCTAGGATTTCGGGAGTATGTGTATAAACCAAAAATGATTATAATTGACCCCCGAAACCAAAATTAATTGTTCCAGAATGATTTGAAATTGTTTAATTTAATTTTTTAATAACTTTTTAACGAAAACTCAATCAAGAAATTGATATTCTTGATTTTCGTCTCATTTTGGCCTCTAGAATCTCCCATTAAAATTTTTCCCCGGGGTGGTCGAATACCCTGTATATTTATTATTGATATGTACACGTTAACAAATAATCGAAATTAATTTGTGAACACTGGAATTATCAACAACTTCTCAGGTTACGTTAAATCCGAATGTTTCAACATTCAACGTATTAAACAGTAATGCGTCAAATTGGTATAATGTTTAGTTGCAATTATTCGACGAAAATGTGTTTTCATACAGATAGATGCTGGGGAGATAGGAAAATTAATCTACTAAATGTATCCATAATAATCCGCAAATGAATAGGCAGGATTGTATCACGTGAACGCCATTGTATGAAAATTAAAACAGCTTGTAGCGGCCATTGTATAGTCACTACGCACTTGCCAGAGTATGAATGGGAATGGAATATAAGGATAGTTTTATGCTTTCAATTTTTCCATTTTCCCAGGGTCTCGTGCGAGCCTGGTCGTCCTGTTAAACACTTGGCGACTACAGTCGTGGGAGGTGCCTGTTTTCCTTCAAGGTTTCGCCTGGGCCTCGGATCACCCCGATCCGGACTCGGCGAGCCTCTTGATTTTTATTACTCTCTTTCACTGTAGCTAAACTTTCCCTACGCTAAGTATTTTTCAGTTTCGTTTTTCCGTCTTTCTGTCCTGTTTCTTTTTCTCTTTCTTTGCTATTAGGTTAAGGAAATGTATATGTATATTGAAGGGAGGTTTTGTGAAAGACGCTCAGTCTGTTTTAGACGCGTTCTAGCTCAGTCCTGTTAGAGACGCGTTATGGCCAGTCTGATAAAGACGTCGTAGTGTCATTGTAACTTTAACCTACGTGTAGCTACACCCCACACTCGCGAATAAACATTAATAATTGTGGGGTAGATTGAGCGGTTTGTTATTTGTCCCTTCAGCCCTCTCAAGCTATTGATTCTAGCGTGAAATTCACTTAAAAATCATTCTTCATCCCTGAGGGGCTGCAAAATCACAAATGGCAGGCTAGATTTGGTTCGTTGGGTATCGTTTCATAGCTTTCACAAACTCTGGATATCCAATCCCATTCTTAACATATTTAATCAATCAATATTCCAGTCAAGTATACATGAAAACATGCCTGTGGTTCTCCAGATTTAAATAATTCTTCGTATCGAGCGTAAAGTCTATGCATTTAAATATCTTCGATAATCGAAAAACGCGAGGATCAATCAACGTAATCGAGGCTGCGGTAACGATTCGAATATCGAACGAACGTATCAATCGAATTCCAGTTTTTCTATTTCGGTTCCCCGGTTGGCTATGCAAGCTCCCCTCTGTGGCAATCGTTTCAATAGAATTATGTAGATCTGTGTTTAATTACGTGATCGCGAAACAATGAGTGCTCTTAGTGAATACCCATTAACCTCGTCGCGCAGAGCGCACAGGTGATCGATATTAATGATGAAGCAATGGTGTAATCCAATATCATCAGTTCGCCAGGCTAGCCAACGGGCCTCTGGTTATTAAGGTCTCGGAATTAATATGAATTACTGCCGACCGAGTGGCGTTGTTCCAATTAAAATTCGGCGTCACGCAGCCTCAAAAATTAAATCCCGCGGCGCGACAACACTCGGTATAATTGATATTTTTTCTTGTATTTTTTCTATTGTTTTTTTTTTTGGTCGCGTGCCCGCGGATAATCGGAACAGCAGGACGTGGCAGTTAAATCTCGGTGCTTCCGCCGACGCGCGTTTACAATGCGGAAAAGTCAACCGGATTATAGCGGTCGAACTCCATCGAACGCGAAAATAACAAGTTCTTCCGTCTTTTTTTATTTGAGGACGCCGAGGGGAGAGGGCAGGGAAGGACAGAAGATTGATCAGCCGTACAGTAGACTGCGATTAAATTGAATCTGGTTTCTTATTCCTCGAGCTAAACGAGAGAAGAAAATAGAAAGAACAAGAGGAATATTGGTATGGATTTTATCGAGCGATTAATCTCTTCGATTTGCTCCGCTGCGCTCTTTAGCTTGTTTTGTAGCCGTCTGGTAATCATTTATTTGTGTCACGGGATGCATTTTATCCCTCAATCTTCTATTTTATCGCAGCATTGTTGGAATTGCGATTAAATAAATATTTCGTTGTACGAAAAACATACTTTTAATGCAACCTGGTTATGTTTGGATTAACACAATGGCGTAACGTAGTATTAATTTCACCTGGAAATAATAATAATGTGTAAAAGTATAGAAGGGCCAAATATTTTACGTTTTCATTTCTTTATACTATACATATATTACACATACATTGTTTATTGCTTTTCATTTGCGTTCTACTGCACGAGAATCTCTCGTCCGTATTTTCATTATAATTACTCCTGAAATTCAAATAATTGCTTCATCTTTCAATACAAAAGAATCGATTTTATATCGTCGAAATTAAAATAAAATGCAACCGTTTGCAGCATTTTATGTATTGTTTTACGATTGCACGTGAAAAAGCAAATAAAAGGAATCTGTTTACTACTTTTTAATATAAATTTATCCATTATTTTTAACGATGCAATAACAATCGAAACCTGACGTTCTTCCGTAATAAATTCAGCGAAACTTCCTCGCAAATTATCGTAAGGAAAGACTCTGAAATCACTGAATTTTATAGATTATAAGACACAAATAGAAATACATTATTGGAATACCTTCCAATATCCATATTCATTTTTCTTGATTCTATAAAATAACGTCATCTTCTATCATCATCAATGAATAAATAAATTGGCTCGAAGTGACCATACGTATTTATATTTCTTCGAAAAGAAGTACGAGCCGAACGTATAAATTTCTAATAACGTTCACCCGGTTCGAAGCGGTGAATTTCTGCGGAATAAAAACTTCAACCTGACAATCAATCTCCCCAATAAAAAATCCCGAAGCACCATTTTTATAATGGAAACTGATGAAGCGTTAGCGCGACGATTTTTTTTTATCGCGCTCTTCCGGTTGTAAAATCAAATGGAGTTTAATTTCTAGCCCCACACGTCGGAATTAACATTCCCCATGTTTATCGCGCCGAGGCCATCCGTTGAGATTTTATGCGGTCGCGAACCCCCTCATCCCCCCCGATCGTTAATTGCCCTATCGGTCCTTGCTCGTAATTAAGGCACGCCGTATTTCGACGGGTCACGCGACCTCGAAAAATGCGACTTCGTTCGTTAGCCCGTCGCTGTGGCGAGGATAAATATTTAGTCGAACGCGCGACGCGTCGATCGCGGTCGAGAATAAATTCCAGGAATCTCAAAATCACAGTAACAACAAAAAAAAGAGAAAGGAACCAAAGTCACACAAACAAC